CTAGAGAAAAATGGGCACTTGCATGGGACAATGGGCGACGTTAGGGCCACATGACGACCAACATAGCAGAGTCTATCAACTCTGTTTTGAAAAAAACAAGAGATCTACCTATTTGCTCCATGGTCACCGCAACGTACACCCGTTGCAACAAATTTTTCATTGAAAGAGGGAGGCAGATAGATGCCATGATCAATGCTGGTCATATATACTCTGAAATTTTGGTCAAAAATTTAGAGGAAGCATAAACACAGACAAACACGCACAGGGTCATAACGTTTGACAGGTCTACCACAAAATTTGTAGTACAAGAAACACAAAACCCGCGTGAAGTTCGACCAGCAGGGAAGTTTGCAGTTCACCTTGATGAGTTATGGTGTGACTGTGGGAAATTCCAAAAATTTCACATGCCTTGTTCACATGTTCTTGCTGCATGCAAGCATGCACACCATGACTTCAACAACTATATTAATTCAGTGTATACCTTACAACAAGTTTCAAAGGTATACGAAACACAATTTGGGTTATTGCGAAATGAAGAATATTGGCCAACATACACAGGACCTACTTTGTGTGCAAATCTAGAAATGAAAAGAACTTCAAAGGGCCGACCAAAATCAAGTCGTATAAGAACTGAGATGGACATTACAGAACATCAAAGTATGATTAAAAAATGTTCATATTGTCATACCCCTGGTCATAGCAGAAGAACATGTCCTAATGATGCATGTGCATCTACTTCGCATCATTAGATTGTGTTAGTTAAGAAATGTCTCAATGTATGAAACTTAGGAGTTTTTCAATTAATTGAAAGTGATGAAGATCTTATTGAATCATTTGATAAAACGAAGATCTTTTCAGTTTGATGAAATCAAAGGTTATTTAAGGAACTTTTTGCTAACTATTGATGCACATACCAGTCATACAACTCAATATAACAAGAATGACCAACCATCAGTCAAGAAATTTTAATCGATTGTTTCTTGTTTTAATCGATTGATATACTGCAAAACTTTCTTATACAACTTTCCAAGTTTTTTTAGCTGATAAAAAGAAGTTTTAATCGATTAAAACTTTGTACCAAATTTTTCCAAGTTGTTTTAATCGATTGAAATGCGTTTTAATCGATTGAAACAGATCTGATCGATCATAATTCAATTCTGATCGATCATAACCAACTCTGATCGGTCATAACTGCATTCTGATCGATCATTCTGACCCTTTAAGTGATTTTAATCGATTGAAACGTGTTTTAATCGATTTAAATAAGTTCTGATCGCTCATATTTCAAATCTGATCGGTCATAATGGGTTCTACAGGGTTTTGTATCGATTAAAATACTGTAAAAACACTTCTTTGATCATTCTAAGCCACTCCACAGAATTGATGCTTGACAGCCCCACAACCTCAAGCACTTTAACCCTGAGTAACCAACAAACCATCAGTCAAGAAATTTTAAATTCTCTTTACATGCTATCATCCCCATATTCACCTTCAATGAATCAATTACAGTCAGCTCCAGGTAAAACAATACAGACACAAGATAATTTCATAAACAGAACAAACTCCCCTTTCAGCAACATCATATAATGCAACCTGGTTCACCTGCAGGTTTTCTCGCTCAAGCGATGAACTTCTCGCTCAAGCGAGAATTGACCATAGCTAAACGTCCAACGCAGTTAGCCACATAATGCAACCTGGGTCACCACATATTTCAATCACTTCTCACTCAAGCGAAATTACCGTCGCTTGAGCTAGAATTTACCCGAGATTTTAGATAGCAGTTGTAGAATTGACCGCTATTAAAAGTATATTTTACATAGCGGTTAACGTGGAACCGCTATTATATGTGGATTATTTTAAAATTATGATCGATTATTTCACGTTATAATCGCTGTTAGAAGTAACATATAATAGTGGTTCCACGTTAACCGCTATCTAAAAGATAGTTTTAATAGCGGTTAGTTCTAGAACCGCTATCTAAACCCAAGTTGCATTATTTGGCTAAACGTCCAACGCAGTTAGCCACATAACGCAACTTGGGTCACCACATATTTTAATCACTTATCGCTCAAGCGAAATATCTGTCGCTTGAGCGATAGTTGACCAGAGATAACTGCGTTCTTACGGATTTCCTCGCTCAAGCGAAGGGTTTCTTCGCTTGAGCGAGAGTTCATTGCGCAAAATAATATTATTTTAATACGTGAACAGTAAACAGTTATGCAAAATAATATTATTTTATTATGTGAACAGTAAACAGTGCTAGTTGTGTAAATAAAGTTACAGAGGTACTATTTTAGAAAATATTTTTGAAAACAGTATAGTATTATTTATGAAAAAAAAGCCCATTCTCTCTCCCTCGAAATCATTAACAATCCAATCAAACAAAAAATAATTCAATCTTTTCTATTTTAATCAATTTTTGTTTTAATTTTTTATTCCTTCTATTTCCTGATGCTATGAACTGGTGCAAACGTCACTACTACTGTCCATCTTACTTATTTTTAATAATTACCACCACAATAACTTTTCTTCTTTACAGATATGACCTCAGGATCCTTGAATTTACATTTTTGTCTTGTTCAGTGATATCACTGTCACTAGTTCATAGAGGTGTATAAATTAATTCTAGTAAATTAACCAGACTTGTCGGTTAAGTTATAGTTTGGTTTAGTCTAAGTTACCTTAATTCCCAGTTTTGTTTGAAGGTTCATAAACACTTAATGAAGTTGTTTCTACAAAAAGACTCTAATTTGCTGATTTATTTATCATTAACATAAAATAAATTATATTTAAAAAATATAAATAATTTATCAAAATTATTCATTCTCGTTTTGAAAATAAATTTTACTTTACGTAGTATATCTATTTATCACGTAATAATATTAAAGTCATTTTTTAAAATATATACGAATTAGATTTAGTGAAGTTTCTCTATAGTTTTATTATGAATTATTTATTTACATATGCTATTATATTAAATAAAAAAAATTATAATCTAAATATTAAGCGTCAATACGGGGAGTTATCACGTTAAGTTTTAATTTCATTGATAATAAGTTAAAAATAAATTTAATTCACTAAATTTATAGATTAAGAAGGTTGGAACTGGATTATGGGGGTTTGGTTTATAAATCACAATCTATTTTTAAATTTTAAAATAATTATAATAATATAGAAATTCTAATTAATATTATCTTTTCTTTTTTTAGTTACAAACTAAATTTTCTTTCAAAATTATCATTAATTATCTATAGCATTTAAGTCATTAATCAATGCAAATAAAATATTAGGTATCGTTGCTAATAGTTGCTGAGGGTACTCTGTTTTATATAGTTGAATTAGAAAAGGTTTGTTGTTAAAAAATAAGTGTAATTCTTAAATGATGTGAAAGGTGTAAACTAAAAGTTTTATTTTGCTCCCTCGAAACTTAACATGGAAGGTATCCAATAGCAATTTGCAAACTCTCTTTTGTAAAAGTGGTGCAAAAAGAAAAATGAAAAAGAAATAATTTATTTTTCTCCTTATATAAATAGTCGCCTTTCACTTACAGAGTATTGCCTTGTGCTCCTTTTTATACTTATATATAATTTTATCCATCTATTTTTACAATTGTCCAATTAATGATATATTATATTAAAATGCACCTAATATAAATATAAAAATGTAGTTACACATGAAAAACCTTTACAAATAACAATAGGAATATAAACCAAAACATTCTAATTTCGTGCTACCTATGACATGAAAGAAATTAATTTTTCTATCAAGTTGTTCCGAATGGTACTAAATTTAGATACCTAAACAAAATCTTGGATTCAAAAAAATGAAAAAAAGAAAAAAAAAGAGAGAGAAAGAAATGTATCGGCTATGATTTTTGTTAGTGAAACTTAATAATCAACAAAACTATAATACACTTCGCACTAATTTCATAATTATACACCATGTTTTTAATTTCATAATTATACAAAATGTTTTTACCCTTTTACCTTTATTTTATATTTGGTTATTTTATTTTAATTTTTCTCTTTCTAACTTGACTCCCATACCCAAAAAAAATAGAACATTTCTCTTCCTATTCTAAGTCGTAAAATCTTTGCTCTTAAATTATTAGAATTAGTTTTCCAAATCGATAAATTTGTTAACTAAATATTTATATTTTAATGTTAATATTCCGTTTCATGTGCATGCTAAAGTACTGTTACACCGAATGCAAATCCCATCATTCTTGAAATCTTTCTAATAATCACCAAATGATAATGATTTAAGGAGATGTTTATTGTAACTTGACTAATTAATCATAAATAATTTTGTGACACGTCACACTTTAATTACATTTTCATTCATTATTAATTATAATGCAGTCAAAATTTAAATGTTGTACTAATGATGGAAATTTTAATTTGAAACTTAAAAACTACTATAAAATTAAGTATGACGTTGAAAATACAGTTAAACCATATAAATATATTTTTTTAATAAACCTTTATCATTATTACAACTTTTGAGAATATATTCTCGAAATACTTTAAAGTAAAACTTGTCAAACAGTTGTTGTTTTCTGAAACAAAAATGCTTCATGAATATATGATGTCTGTCAAGAAAAAAAGAGAATAAAAAAAACACGTTCAAAAGGTATAAAAAACAGATAGGCAAAAGAAGAAAAAAGCAAAAACCGAATCAAGTATATGTGTCCACTACGAAAATTAAATTTGCATAAAAGAAATTTGAACGACTCGTATTGAATTACGTCTAAATTGAGACCACCATGTTTTCACCTTCTTTTTCCCGATGCAGGTTCTTCTTTTTATGAAACCCTTCACTTTCATAAGTTTCCTCTTTTATATTATAAATAAATAAATTATTCTCTTCTACTTCAAACCCTTCCTTCAACTCTCTTTTTCTCTGCTTTTTAAGCATTCCTATCTGTTTCTGACTACTCTTCTGTCTTCTTCTCTTTTCGCTGGAACACGGAATCCTCTTCTTCTGTCTTTGAAGCTCCAATGGCAGCAACAGAATCTATTGCGGAACCTAAAGAAGCCGAAGAACACGTAGAGGGAGAACCTACCGCATGCAAGGTAAAACATTGTTCCATCTTTTACATTTGTTTTTCGCTTAACAATGCCCAGTACTCTCCAACAGGCTCTGAACTTGTTACGCTTCTGTCTCCCAGACCGTGGCGTTGAGAGTCTCCATCCACTGCCAAGGCTGCAAAAAGAAAGTCAAGAAGATTCTGCAAGCCATTCACGGTAACGTAGCCAAACCACCTTCAAAACCAGACCCTAATTTTCAATGGCCCTCCTTTCCTCGTTATTTTTCTAGACCGCACTCGTTCTTCTTCTGTGGTGCAGGTGTTTACAACATAGACATTGATCAGAAGCAACACAAAGTGGTGGTATCGGGAAACGTTCACGCCGAGACGTTGATTTGGAAATTGAACAAGGCAGGGAAGCATGCAGAGCTATGGCCTGAAAAAGCAGATTCCAGAAAGAAAAGGCAAGGGCAAACAGAGAGCAGAGAGAAGCAACAAAACGACCCAGAAAGCAGCGAAGGGATTAAGGGAAACGACAAAGAAGATGTTAAGGTTGTCGCGCGAGACGCATCCAGAAACACTGAAGGTACTAACAATAACAATAGTAACAACAATAACTCCGTTAAAAACAGCGATGGATGCGGTGGGGGTAACGTTATCAAACCAAATGAGGGATGCGCCACCGGTAAAGCTGGTGTTCAGTTGCAAGAGCCGAAGCCGGAGGTGAGGCAGACCGTGGTATTACAACCGGCCGTTCCGGTAACCGAGAAAAAAGTCAGCATCGCCGTTCAAGTTCCTAACGACAATGAAGCAACCGGGAATGAGAATAAAACCGGTGGAGCCGGTACCAGTGCCGGTGCCGGTGCCGGCACTGGTGGGGCTAGTGTAGCGAAGAAGAAGAAAAAGAAAGCGACGGCGACGGCGACCGGGAAAGGGAGTAATATCAACAACAGTAATGAGGGTGTGAGTGTTACTGTTGAACACCGCAATGATGTAAAACCTCACGATGGTTCCGGTAACCAGTCACACGGTCTAGGTCATGCTCAAGTTCATGGGCCAGCGATTCCGGTTTCATGTTCAGTTCCATTTTCGATCCCAGCCAATGAGATTCCGCCACGTCATGACTACATTTACCGTCAGTACCCACCGCATTACTATGCTCCACCTCCTGCTCCCGTTATTCATAGTGTAAGCTACCACACGGCGCATCCTAGCAGCAGCTACGGTGCAGCGTATTATGCCCCTCCGCAACCCTATTCGTACGCCCACGTGGTGCGGCCAGGGAACGAAGTGGAGCCTCCACCGTACATGTACGAAACGGAGTCGTATACTCCATCACAGCCCTCGGATTCGTTCGAGCTCTTCAGCGATGAAAATCCTAACGCGTGCGCAGTCATGTGAGTGTGAGTGGTACTGTACGCAATCATTTAATTTTGTAATGCTTGTAGATATACAAGAGTATTATCACAGTCTTCCTTTTTAATCTAGGAAAAAAAAAAACACTTTTTTTTAAGGGATGAAAAAGTAAGGTACAATAATGGGTCAATGTGGCTCTGAGCCTTGGGTTTTTGTTCAGCGGTTGTTCTTGCTTTTTACTACCTTACTGGGGTTATAGGATATCCTCTATGTATTTTCAATCGGAAAATTAAAATTATTGGCCTTCCATGTTACCCCACAACCTCCGTTACTCCATTATCTATCACTTTACTATTTTGCAGGGATCATATGCTTCTTATAGACTTATAGGTGTGATGAGGTGGGCCAAATGGAACAACTACTGAAAAAGTAGATGAGACACGTGTTAAGAAATCATCGGTTCAAACGATTCAAAACAAGTTAATAAAATGAGTTCCAAAAAAATATATTTAGATACATATGAATTTGGTTTGTTGTATGGATTTGAAGGGCCCTTAAAACCAAACTCCAGAATGAAAACAATTGGTGTGCTCTGCATTATGCATTTTGCCTTTCTTTGCTACCAATGTGCTGGTCAGCAATTTTGAGGTTCCCATTGAGAGTAACTTATTAAGGCTTATGTAGACTTTTCTGAAAGCAAGCTTCTTTTGGTGTGTGTGAAGACGTATCATCAAAATCTGAAGAAAAAGCAAATTCACTTCTTAGTGGAATTACTTCTTTAACTTACTTTCTTCTCCATTCATATTGTCAAGACTTAAGGGCACCTAGAATCCACGCTGGTATTTAAAGCAACTCTTTCTTTAAAGAGGAGAAAACTTCTTTTCCTTTACAAGGTGTTGGGTGTAGTTGCACTTGCACTTAGTTTAGGCAAATGAAGTATGACCAGGAAAGTTAAATCAAAAGGTTGTCACAAAGATCAGAATCCATGATCAACGAAAAGCAAAACAATAATAATGTTTCAATTGAGATATGGGTCGTTATTCATACACTTCCTCAGAGAGATATGGATTAAACTCACTCAAACCATTATGTCTTCCTTAAATCTCTAGAAAGCCTTTTCTGGCTTTGATTCTGTTGCCAACTTGAGGCTTAGTGGGACTTTAGGAGATTACTTCTGGTTGAAGAGAATTTTTCACCAACTATTTATTCTTATTCTCTCATGAGAGGCAACCATATACATGCAGGAATTCAGATTTATAAGGTCGGTGAGAAACAATTTAAACTCTGTTTCACTATTCCAGATTATTCTGATGAAAAAAATGGCATTTTCCTTGCTGCTACAATAAGATCAAGTGTTCACAATTCAATATTTGCCAAACTTGTTTTGTTGCAAAAATCACTGCTTAATTGACTAAAAACTCTGAAAGGGAAGTTTAATTAATACGCAAAAATCAAGTTAATCACAGTCACATCCGGTCCTTTTAAGAGGATGTCCGGGTTGAATACTCTGGGAAACTTTATGGAATAATAGTGACGAGGAAGTTTAGTAACAAATATTTCATTGCTACCCATTTTGCATATTCTTTCTTGTCATATCATTTTTTCATTATGGAATCTGATTCCTTTTATTAAAGATTCAATCTTGCTTCATGTATAAGCCTCACAAGTTGAACCTTATATCAGTAGATAATGCTGGACCTCAAGGGTAAATGTCAGCTTACACAACCTTTTTTTCAAAGGCACGGGAAGATTTGTCTTTTCCATGAAAGTTGGTACACTACCGTTTCAGTTTTTACACCGAAAGAAAAAAGTTATTGCTTTAGTAGCTCTTTTTTTTTTTTGGGTCAAGAAGGAGCTCATTTCAGAAATTAGGCTTTTCTGCCTTCAACCTGATTTTCTTAATCCATAGACTGGTTTCAGCTTGAGGGCGATTTTTAGCCTATGATTGGATTAGATGATAAATTTGAGGTAGTGAAAAATGATAAATTTGAAGAGAAAGAGAAATAAAAGTGGAGTTGTCTGGATAAGGAAAAAATGATAAAATATGTAGGAAAATGAGAAAAAAAAGTTTATTAGAATATGTGAATGATTTGATTGATGTAAATAATAAAAAAAATATATATTTTTTTTATAAAATGATCAAATTACTTTGAATAAAATTTATTATTATTATTATTTAAATTATTATAATTATTTAAATTATTTTTATTTTATTAAAACAATTATTAATGTTAATATAATAATTATTATTTATATATTATTATTATTTAAAATATTATAATAATATAATATGTTTTTTTTAATTATTAATATAATGATAATGATAATAATTATTTATTATTATAATTAGTATTAATAAAATTGAATTTTTTATTATTATTAAACATGATAAATTATTCTCATGTTTAATAGTAATATAAGTAATCGAGAATAGATTTTTTATATATTTTACACCGAACAATTATTCATGCATTATATACAAACGATAATTATTCTTGTTGAATTAACCGATAAAAAACGTATATTTAAGATGAATCATAATTGATTCTCAATTAGTAGAAAATTAATTCTCCATAACTCCGTACAAAAGTTGTTTCACGTGGAGAGAGGGATAAAAATATAAATACACATTAATAAATTGTATTTCTTGACTAATCTCTTCATTCAAACGAGGTACTTTCATAACACAAATATTTTCAACTCAAAATAAACCTATATTATTGTCACTTTTCCATTCTCATGAATAGTAAATAGCTTGAAACAAATACAAGTTTAATATGAAAGTTGTTAAGTTATTCTTTCAATCATTAGAAAACAAATCAAAATAAATTTTTATTTGTAACATTTAAAAAAAAATTATATATATATATATATATATATATATATATATATATATATATATATATATAATAATGTCCAAGTTATTTTTAGTAAGATTGTTAATTCTGATATAGTTTGCATATGGGTCACTGATTTATTGACATAATCCGGCCTATCAAATTAAGTTAGGTTAAATTGATTGGTTTTTCTTTTCTTTTTATCAACTTAGATATGTATTTTTCTAATTTGGTACTACACTAATTCTGGTCTTCAGAAAAACATAATTAGATCTCTGTTTTCTTTTCGTATTTTGAAAATCAATTCTTTTGTTTTACAAAATTAATTTGTCTTCTTAATATATTTCAAAGTGTTTGCTATTCAACTTTCTAAGAAATTGTATGAATATTTACGTATCGAGTGGAAACAGTGGTGGATCTTATTAGGAGCGGAGGGGGTCGTGACCCTTCCAAAGTTTTGTAACTCCTATGTAATTTATAATTTTGGTCCCTCTAAACATAACGAGCATTTAATATATTTACTTGTATATTTACAATTTTATCCTCTCAACTTCTCCTCAGCTTTGTAATTCTCATATAATTTATGATTTTGTTTCCCTCATGATCATTTAATATATTTAAGTATATATTTACAATTTTATCTTTTCAACCTTTTATATTCTTTCTTCTTTTTATATATTATTTATTATTTATTAATAATATATTATTTGGCTCCCAAAACCAATTGTCAAGATTCGCCACTCGATGGAAACAAATAGAAGAGGAACGAGAAAATCCTATAAATAATATATATTGTGCTTACTACTCCAACTCATCTTAATAAATATAAATTAATCCGATTTTTCCTAAATTGTTTTCCCTTGCACACAAAATACATTCTTATTAGAAAAATAAAACATTATAACTTGCAATGCTCATATTTGTTCTCCGTTTGTTTATCCATACAAGGGAAATAACAACATATCTTATTCAAATAGTTATTATATTTATGTAGGTTAAAATTAGTTCAATAGTGACTGAATTTTTATAACTATCAAATTTAAAAACTAAGTCAAGAAAAATCAAATTTCATTTATAAACTTTTAGTAAATTTATCTCAAATTCTAAAAATGGTATAAAATATAATAAAATTTTAAATCTACTAAACCCTTATAGATATATGATAGACCAATAAATATAGAATTAAATTCAATTTAAATCAGTAAAAAATAGAGTTGTCAAAATAGATAATCTAATCCATCGTGATATGACTCTATGAGTGAAGTAAAAAAAATTAATGACCCAACTTAACCTATATTTCAAAATGAGCCAAATATTTTAATCTATATTAGATCAACGAATTAATGAATCAATTTTAGGCTAATTAAATAAAAAAAATAATAACATATTTATATAAAATTAATTGATTAAACAAATATTTAAATAAGAATAAAAATAAATATTTTGAAAATTTAATTTTATTATTAAAATTAGTTTTTATTTATGATATACTGATTTAATATATAAATTATAAGAGGATACATTCATTTAATCTCAAAATAAGAATTAAAAAATTAATTCTTATTATTATTATTTATTTTTATTAATTAATTTATTTAAAATAATAATTAATCTTAATGATAAGATCTTAAAATAAGTAATTATTAAATATTCATTACGATATTTACTTTTATAATAAATAAATATCTATCAAATTAATTTATAATATATAATTTTTAATAAAATAATATTGTTTTTATTTTTATTTAAAAAATTAATATTATTCTATAAAATAAACTTATTGATAAGTTTAGGGATTAATTTGACGTAAACGTATGTAAGTCAAAGTTTAATAAATATTTAATTTAGAAAATAAAATTTTTGACCTATTCTAATATATGTTTTAGACTTTTTGAGTCGAATCTGGCTATTGAACTAATACACATAATAAAATATAATATATTTGAAAAGAATAATAGTCGGATCATAAAAAAACAAATAAAAAAATTAGTTAAAAATAAATAATTAAAAGAAATAGGTTTATTAAACCCAATTTATTGAAAGAGAAGCTAAAGACTAATATATATATAATACACATTCCCTATGTAATTAAATTATAAAAGTACGTAAAAAAAACGTGTTATCACGTACCAATAACAAGATGATTTTTTTACATAACAAAATAACTTTTTTGGCCCAAGATTTTATTTTTCATCGTTTATTAAAATTGAATTTCATAAAACTTATCCAAATCATTCAAACTATTTGAATTAAATTTAATTTATCCATCTTAAAAATATAGTTCATAACTTTTGATCTTTTCCTTTATAATACATTTTTATATAACTTTAAATGCTTATGTTATATTTATATTTTAATCTAATAATGCATTTAAACAAATAACCTTTAAAAAAAATCGAAGCAAAGATTATAAGACTTATATTTTATAGAATGTTCCAAATTCAATGTGTAAGTTACAAATTATTTTTCATGATGTTTAGAGTGTTTACAAATAAAAAAATATATTTTTTCTTTAAAAAAAACACACACACACACACAAATTAGAGAAAAATTTTATTTTATCATTGAAATGAAGTCCTTGAATATAACATGAAAGTTGGAATTTGTAAGATATATTTTAAAAACTAATGAATAAAATTTTAATTAAAGATATTCTGAAAAATATCTGGACAAGGAGACTATGTCAAGAAGAATAAAAGGTGTCTTAAGTGTGTGATTTTTCTCCATCTTTATTTCTATAAAATATATATACAAATAATAGTAAAATAAAAGTTGTGTTATTTAATGAGTTGAGTTAGATTAAATTCACAATACAATATAAAAAATCAATTAGAATTGAAAAATATTTAAAATACCTTATCCAAAATTTAATTGTATTGATTCAATTTAATATACAGGTTTTCATAAACTCCCCTAGTCTATATAAAACTTGAACTGTTATGTTTGGATTTGATAGCTTGAACATAATTGAGAGACCGACAAATTTAAAACACTTTCATTAGCAAAAGCGAATAACCGGTTTTTAAATTAAAAATAATAAGGTTGTTCTATCTTACAGATTATTTGTCATATATATAGTTAAAAAAAATATTTTTTTATGTAAGAAGATTAATAAAGTTTTTTTCATATTGACCAACATTTATGTGGGTGTAAATGAACAACTTCAATTTAAAATTCATAGTTTTGTATACATAGGAACATACAAATATATATGTTCTACACCTAATCTAAGTCCAATTGATTTTCTCTGACCTAGACTTTTTGTTCTATCATCCACCTTTCAAACTTACCCTTGTATTATAATTAATCAAGTATACCTAATTTTTGTTATTTAAAACCTTATTATATGCGAAACATAGTTGTTATCCACCATAGGATTGCACTCTAAGCTGGTTTCTCACGCTTCCTTGTCAATGACATTGCCTTGTTCACACTAACTTAAATACTTCTTAGACGTGTTGGGAAGTCACAAATATAATATCCCATGACAATTTCTCACACTTGGAAAATTGAATTCGGGTGAATGTAACACATGATTAAATTTATTTATATATAAATTTAAAACAAAAATACAAATAATAGACACTTCTTCATGCTCCACACGTCTCGTTTTGCCTTCTCTCTTTAGTCCACCAAATTTTAGAGAAGGCTTCCATTAACCATGGACTTGTCAATTTGGGACACTTTGAATTTATTTTGTTAAATAAATAAAAAAAGTTGTTAAATTTGTCTAAACATGTATTACTTATCACCTAAGTGTTGAAAATGATAACATTTGTACCACAGTTAAAATAGAAGAAAAGAAAAGCGTTGTTGAGAAGGTGGTTGTCGCTGTCGGAAAATGGCAAAAGCGTAAATAAAGGGGAGAAGAGTGTCTTTTGTTGAAGAGCAGAGAGAGGGTTTCAAGTTTTGAACTTTGGTTGCTGAGCTCTCAATTCAATTCATTTGGAAATAAAAAGGAAAAAAAAGAAAGAAAGGAAAAACACAGCATTCCCGAATTAAGTAAGGAAAGAGAAAAAGAGAGGGCTCTCATCAATGGCGAAGTCGTGTTCCGTGGCGATGATGGTGATCTGCGCCGCCACCGTACTGGTGGCGATGAGTCGGTGCCCGACAGCGGCAGGCGGAGGGGACCACCTCTTAGGAATGGGATGGGCTCCCACGTGCAGGGGGTCCATCGCGGAGTGTCTGGGAGGGGAGGAGTATGAGATGGACTCGGAGATCAACCGGCGCATCTTAGCCACCACCAAGTACATCAGCTACGGTGCGCTGCAGAGGAACACCGTTCCCTGCTCTCGCCGCGGCGCCTCCTACTACAATTGCCAACCAGGGGCTCAGGCCAACCCTTACAGCCGCGGCTGCAGCGCCATTACGAGGTGCAGGAGCTGAATTTTTCTTTTCTTTTTCTCCAATGTGTTTTGTTGTTGTTATATAAATTAATTTGTTATTCGTCAACATTTGTGTTAATCCATTTCCGGATTTCCATGGTCAGAATACACTGCCTCCTCTTAAATCTTAATAGTAGTATTGTTATTATGTCGGTTTGAACATTTGTGTAAAAAAGAAAAAGAAAACTGTTACTGTTTTTTCTTTTTCCTCTGCCACCCTTTTTTACTTTGGTTTTGCCCCTAGACAGAGTCTGAATCTGAGTGAATGGGGAAAAGACAGAGGCCGTGTCTGTGTATTGGTGATTGTATCAGCGATTCATTAATGCTCTGGTTTTCCATTTTTCGAATTCAAATCCCTCGTATGATACTAGTATAAATTTTTTTTTTCTTTGTGGGTTAGCTTTATCAATTTCTGTTGAACCCAAGTGTGAAATTGGGATTGGGAGATTCCGACATTGATTAATCAAATCAATTTCTTCGTTGCTTTTTGTTAATGCTTTGCTGCGCTGGGCTAAAGTTTCATATGCTTTGCATTTTCATGATAAAATAAGATCGTGGGGTATTAGGAGGAGGATATGTGGTGGTGTTGAAAGTGTTACTATTTGAAAATTGAACAAGTTAGGAAAATAGTGAAGTGGGTAAACGAACCGACACGCCAAATATGAAACAGGGAATGAATGTGAAGGTTTTTAGGACACTCTGGATTGAGAACTCACACTAAACATGTCTTACTTGTCGGTAACTTGTGTCAAATTTTTGTAGTACCAAGACAAAAACATGGTTCCTTCTTCAAAGCAGAGTAAAGAAAAGAAAGTGGAAGGGTAAAACAAACTATTAAGCTATCTTCTTCAAAAATCAGGTAGTAAGGTTTGGATTGGCTTAGTGTTTAGTTGGTTTTGGAGAATCATCTTAGAGCTGAGATTCTATCGGTCATGGAAATGGGGGACCAGACTAAAGCTCCCTAATAATTCATCATTTGTATTACTTGCCTTACCAATTCATTGGCCTTGAATCATCATCTACTTATATAATATTGACACATTTTGGAATTAGCTGTGTAACTCACTTTCTGGGAGTCGTATATTTGTTAGGTAGAGAGGTATAGTTGTATATTGTTACTTTCAGTTCTATTTTGCACCACAACACACCATTCTCCTTTACTTTGCATTCCACTAACCTCAATTTGAATGCATTTCCTTTTGTCCCTAACCGGTGGTGGAATACTATTTCCCAAATTATTCGGCTTGCCCATGAGATGGTGATGGGCTAATGTTCATACTCTAAAGGGATGGGACAAGGGTCACTGTCACTATTAATAAATTCATCTTTTCCACTTCTTAAAATTGCGCAATATTTGATCAAATGTTGTGAAACTTTCTAGTTAATCCACAAACTCTCAGAGTTTATGGTTCTAACTAAACAAAACAAATTAACTTACTATGAACCTATTTTTTAGATCAATTTGTGTACATTCATCTTTAATAACAATTTATGGAGGTCGAATTAAAACATAATTTTAGTCTTTATTGACTCCTAGTGTACGAGGCATTGATTTTGAGGGTGAAGTAAACATAACCTTTTATTACGACTCAAATTCGAACAAATCTTTCAACTCTTTCTTTAAACAAACTTTATGAAATTATATATAACTTTTTAAATATATATAATTTGGTATTATCCAGTAATAATGATGAATGCACTGTAACACTATTAATTTGTTAAACGTATTATTTTATGTATATATTATTGTTATTATTATTTTAATTTTTAGGTAAATTATGACTAATTAATGAGTAAATCTCTATTAATTCGAGTTTATTTAAACTTTGGACTTTTGCATTATATACTTTGTAACTGGAACACTCATATTGGACTCAGCTAGACCTATAATCTCTCATTTATAAAATTGTAGTAAAGGCTAGTCTTGGCCATGGTGGGAAGGTGCCACTGTCATGTCCTCCAGGATAAAACAAGGGTTTAGACTTTTTTTAATATGATTAAATTATATGTTTTTTTTATATTATTTTTCTTGATGAGTTTAAATTATTATTTTATTGGATTTTTTTTTTAAATTATGCATAAATTGATTATTCAAATATAAATTAAAAAGTAGTAGAGTTATGTTATTTATTAGTTCTTAGATTTAAATAATTTAAAGTCATTATATAATTATTAATCTCATAAATTAGACATTTGATTTAAGTCAATTTTATTGCATGTATTAATTCTATTATTAAATTTTTTATTAAATTGAAACATGTGTGAACATAATATAAAGTGTTGATGAAAATATATATTTAGTCCATAGAAAATATCATAAATTTATTACAATATTAATTCATAAAAATAGTTAATTCCATTGCCGGGAATCGAACCCGGGTCTCCTGGGTGAAAGCCAGATATCCTAACCGCTGGACGACAATGGAATTTTGTTTCAATATTCACAATTAATTATATTATATACAAACTACATTTTTATTTTCTTTAGTTTTAATTTTAATTTTATTTCATTATTTTTTAAAACTTACCCTGTTTTAAAGTTTTTTTAAAGAACTATAGTTTACTATATTAAATCTATCATTTGAATATATATAACACATTTTATTTGTTTCAAACTTTAAAAAATATATTTTCTTTTGAAAAAAAAAATTTGTGATAATTTTTTATCAATGTTTTTCTCTGATAGTGACTATTTGTTTATTGGCATAAGTGAAATTCATACTATTTGCTTATTGGTATAAGTGAATTCAGAATGACAATCTTATTCATAACAATCATTAATCTATTGTGTATTCTACAAGGTAAAAATTTATATATAATTTAAGTTAAAACTGTGTAGTTGTTATGCTATTAGTTTATAAGGTCTTGATTTTTGATAATAGAAAACCCTTATGTATATGAATATTTTTTATTTTCATTTCATTCCTAATTTATTATTAAAGTCAAAGATGATGAATCTTTTGACAATAACATTTTTTATCTATTTTTTAAATACATAATAATATAATTGATAAAAAAACAATATTTTATTACAAGTATCATTAAAAAATATTTAAAACAAATCTTTTTTACAATAGTATAAAATAAAATAGTTTTCTAAATAATGTTTTAAAAAAAATATGAATTTTCATCATTTTATTATAAAGTAGATTCTTATTTTGTCACCTAGTAGAAAATCTATTCCACCGCCTTGCCATGCTACTTTACATAATATAATTTTGTTCTTAATTATGTATCCATAATTAATATATATATATATATATATATATATATATATATATATATATATATTACACGCTATAAAATTTTTATTTACGAGTGAAACACAGAGTTTAAATATATATGTATTTATATTTTTATATAATTATTTTTAAAATATTTTTTTTATAAATTTTATATAATAATTTTTTAAAAGTTATTATATATATTTTTTTCTTATAAGTAATTAATTTTAAAATATATTTTTTCTTTTTATCATCTTAAAATACTTATTTTCTTTCTTATTTCAATATTTTTAAATATATAAATTATAATAATTATTTTCTAAAATTATATCATTCTTATTTTTCCTATCTAATTAAAAAATATATAATTATAGATAAATTATAACCTTCTATTTTTTGTATGACATAGTACATAAAATATGAAAAGAATATAATATCTCCATATTCAAACTTTTTTTATTATTAATTTCTTTTTAAAATACTATCTTTTTATATATTTATTTTTCTTTATTAATTATGTAATATATGTTTTAATTTATTTTTATTATTTTAAATATATAAATCATAATAAGTACTTTTTTTAAATTATAATATTTTTATTTTCTTTTATTTGATAATAAAAAACAATTAAAAAAATCCACTTGATACATATTACTTATATATAGTTAGAGATACTATTGATTACAAAATATGTAAAAAAAAAAAGTTTAATTTTCACTAATTTTAATAATATTTTTTAAATTTTATAAATAATATCTTACATAACATATTACAAAATATACATTTAAGTTAAGTTTATATTTTTTAAGCCATAAGTTAATTAGGCGAATTCATTCTTAATTGTATTTCTATTAAAATTCCTTAACAAAGATATAAAAGCACACCATGGTCTCCCCTGGAAACACTCTTAGGATATATACCTACCTGTTGTTTTTACTCTCTCTTTTATCTTTCCCCAATTGAGTGTTGGTGTCGAATTGTATTGGCATTAGGTTGAACTGAAAGAAGCAGTTGACATGGCGAGCGCGATGGTAGAGGATGCGACCTTCGAAGATGATCAGTTGGCGAATATGACAACCGACGACATCATCAGAGCTTCACGTCTTCTCGACAATGAGATTCGCATCCTCAAGGTAGAGCCTCTCTTTTCTGTTTTGCTTTCTATATGTGTGTAACCCTAGCCCTATATTTGTTTGTGTTTTTTTTTTTTTTCCAATTTCTCAGCGTTAGGGTTTCTGATTTTAATTGAAATTTTTTCGGTGGCTGAAGGAAGAGTTGCAGAGGACCAATCTGGAATTGGAATCGTACAAGGACAAGATCAAGGAGAATCAGGAGAAGATTAAGCTCAATAAGCAGTTGCCCTACCTCGTCGGTAACATTGTTGAGGTAGCTCGCCATGTTCTTCGTTTCTCTATTTGGGATGTTGTATTGGCGATTGACGGAGTTTAAATTCTGGTTATTGTGGAATCGGGATAGACGAAGTTGTCTATTGATTTTTCCACATTCTTATCCGATTATGATGTGATATTTTTCTTCTTTATTTTTGTTTTCTTGTCTTTTCTTGCTTTTAGATATTGGAAATGAACCCAGAAGATGAAGCTGAGGAAGATGGTGCTAATATTGATCTTGACTCGCAGAGGAAGGGGAAGTGTGTTGTGCTAAAGACTTCTACTCGACAGGTGAAATGGATGATTATTTTCATGTTGGCAAACGATATTATACTTGTTCACATTTCAACATCTGCTGTTATTATTTCAAATTTCTGGATAGTTTGTTATTTGTTATCGTTATTGCTATCTTGTGCATTTAGTGACGAATGCCGGGCTTAATAATGTTTCTTTTGACTGCAGACAATCTTTCTTCCTGTTGTTGGGCTTGTTGACCCTGACAAATTAAAACCTGGTGATCTTGTTGGTGTTAACAAGGATAGTTACTTAATCTTGGATACCCTGCCTTCTGAGTATGATTCTAGAGTTAAGGCCATGGAAGTCGATGAAAAGCCTACCGAAGATTACAATGACATTGGTGGATTAGAGAAGCAGGTAAACACTGATTATTGTCTTAATTTATTGAATCACTATTTCCTTGGGATTAGGTAATGGCAATTCTTGGGTCATTCAATAACTTGGTCTTTCTTAACAGATTCAAGAATTAGTCGAGGCTATTGTTTTGCCCATGACCCACAAGGAGCGGTTTCAAAAGTTAGGCGTTCGTCCTCCCAAGGGAGTGCTGTTATATGGACCTCCAGGGACAGGGAAAACATTGATGGCTCGTGCCTGTGCCGCACAGACAAATGCCACTTTTCTTAAATTGGCAGGTCCTCAACTGGTCCAGGTATGATACTCTATTTCTATTTATTTTTCATTTTTTTCCCATTATATATTTCTAATCTTGAATAATCATCTTTGTACCAACTAATTATTCCATTTTTACATGTTGGTAACATTTTTTTCTTTTTTTCTAATACAAGTGAATAATCAAGTACGTTATCCCCATTGATCATTGTTCTTCAGTTTCTTCTGACTAAATTCTGCCTGTGATGTATGTCAACTACACTTTTGATTTTAGAACGATTTCTTACTAATTCTTGTCTTGTGTTGTAATATTCTGGGTACTACTTTAACCTGCATTAAAATATCGCCTGGTTCATCCGACACATTTGAATTGACAAGATTCGTTGCATCTATTTCACTTGAACACTGCTACCTTTATTTTTTGTACTCACGCCTGTTGACGGATTTTTTTTATTTGAATGATCTATAACCTGGAATTTTGCACAGATGTTCATAGGAGATGGAGCAAAACTTGTTCGTGATGCCTTTCAACTAGCAAAAGAGAAATCACCATGCATTATATTTATAGATGAAATTGATGCAATTGGTACTAAGCGTTTTGATAGGTATTAACCTACAAGAATTTAGATCTACATTTGTAATTCCCCCCTCCTTTTGAGGTAGATGTTTTTACCCAGTTAAAGTGTACTGGTTCAGCGACCTTGATATATCTTGTGGCTGATTGCAGTGAAGTAAGTGGAGACAGGGAGGTACAACGAACAATGTTAGAATTGCTTAATCAGCTTGATGGTTTTAGCAGTGATGACAGGATTAAGGTTTGCTTTTAATTCTTGTTATCTACTTTTTATTAAGATTGGTGTCACTGAAGTGTGCTTGTTTTTTTGTAAAGAGTAAAAGTGTATATATGTGTGTGTGCGCGCGCGTGTTTAAATCCAATGTTTAGGAGCTGGTTCCATTATTCTTTAACTTCCATTTACAACGACTTAAATAGTGACTACATTCAGAAGTTGGCACCAAATTTAAAGATTTTTTATTCAGTTAGGCAATAGGTGATTGAAGTGCCGTTTTCATTTATTTATGTTAATTACAGGTGATAGCAGCAACAAACAGGGCAGATATTCTTGACCCTGCCCTTATGCGTTCTGGTCGATTGGATCGCAAAATTGAGTTTCCACACCCAAGTGAAGAAGCAAGAGCTCGTATTCTACAGGTTTGATGTCTTCAAACTTTATCTGCCGACATGTTTTTCAAACAAAACATTTACTGAGGGCTCTCACTTTGATATTTTAGATCCATTCAAGGAAGATGAATGTTCACCCGGATGTCAACTTTGAAGAACTCGCACGGTCCACAGACGATTTCAATGGAGCACAACTGAAGGCTGTCTGTGTTGAGGCTGGCATGTTGGCTCTGCGTCGTGATGCAACAGAGGTTTGTCTTATTTCAGATATGCTGAACATAAATAACATAAACATCAATGTTTGAAAAAAAAAATTAGCACCATGATTAGTCTGGGTGATAGTACTGGTTGGCATTGTTGGAATGTTCGTGAAATTTGTTTGTTTGTTTGAAACTTTTAGGTGAACCATGAGGACTTTAATGAAGGTATTATTCAAGTCCAAGCAAAGAAGAAAGCAAGCCTGAATTATTATGCATAGGCTGGATTGTGGAACAAGCTATTTTTCAGTTTACAAAGATCTTTAGAGACATCTCAGGCCGATGGGAAACCTAATGTTTGACATTTATTTTCTTATTCTTTTGTCAATCTGTAACCGTATGATATAACCTACAGGATGCTAGAATTTTCGTATCTTTTAAAAATACAATCTGGTCGTCAACTTCGTACTAGTAAAAGAAATTTGATCTGTTTGCAATGTCTAAAATCTTATCATCAGGCTAATATGATAATTATGGTAAACAAATAAGACTTGTGAAAGTGTATGTATAATCATAATTTGATTTTAAGCAGTGGTATTTACTTTTTATACATCAATCGTTTCAAGTCTTTTCAAGTTGATAGAGCAAGTAGGTGTTTGTATGAATGCGGTAGTGTATGAATTCTCTTAAGAAATATTTAAAAATTCACTTTAATTTTATATTTAAAATATTTTTAATCATTTTAGGGTTTTTATAGATGTCAGTTTAGTGAAATTATCTAGTATTTAGTATATTAAAGCGTTATTCAGTTCGTGATATTGAAAATAGCTCAAGAATCCATGTAGTGGTGGGGACAACACAATTGAAACAATATATTTCTAGTTGTGTGAATCAGTGTATAATTTTAAAAAAGGATTTCCTAAATTAAGATTATCTGATTCAATTAATTTTTATGTTACTTGCAATTTATTTCAGAATTTCAGAATTTTCAAGCATTAAGGATTGGAATATAAATTTTTCAATATATGAAATTGGGTATAAATATTTTATTTTTTTTCATTAGTTTTTGGATAATTTAAATTTAGAAACATTATCACAAAATATTTCAGGATATTGATAAAAAATTTTCAGAGTTAAAAATAGTTGTTATAAACTTTATTTTTGTTATTGATAGATTAATTACAAATTATTTATTTTAAACCTAAGAAATTACACCATGTGTAAAAAAAAACAGTATAATCATATTTGTTTTTCATATTTTTAAGATCTTTCGATAATCATAGATATAATTTTTTTTAATAATCTATGTTTTTATTTTGAGTGTAACCTTTTTAAAGTGTAGTCTTGGATTTATCAATTTGTCTTGTATATTTCCATTTAGTTTTGAGAATCCAGTTAACATCTATGATTTTGCAAATTGATGATATATTAACCAGTTAAAAATAAAGTATCATTTTTTTAAATTACTTGAATTTTAGCATCTATTTTTTGATGTTTGATTGTATCATTATATGTTACTACATACATATACAAATATGGCAACATTCAAGACATTTTCCTCACTTAGAACATCACTTGTAATATAACATCCATGTTGGTGGTCTTCTAGTCCTTCCTTAAATAAGTGATTTTGAAACTAGTGGAACAAAATAATCAATTACATTTAATGATGAGTTCGATGTTGGTGTTATTGTTGCACTAAAAATTACAGTTATTTCATTTGATTTGTCTTGAGTTTCTCTTCAACTGCTAGTGAAGACTCTCCTAAATCATTCAACTCACCCGTATTAAGTATACTACTGTCTTTTGCGTTATTCCAATTCTAAACCGCATCTTCTTGAAATTTAACACCTTTACTAATTAAAATTTTATATTCAAAACATTTTTAATCATTTTAGGTTTTTTAGCGATGTAAGTTTAAATGTTTCAATTCTTAGAAGTTATACATGTTATTTCGGATGAAATTGTCTAGTATTTAGTATATTAAAACGTCACTCAGTTCGTGTTATTGACAAACGATTAAGTTTATAGACTTAGTTTTATAACTAAATTTTTAGAAAATAGCTCAAGAATCCATGTCAAACAATATATTTCTAGTTGTGGGGGAATACTATATAATTTTAAAAAAGGATTTCTTAAATTAAGATTCTCTGATTCAGTTAATTTTTATATTACTTGTAACAGTTTATTTCAGACTTTCTAAGCATGTTTACGAATTAGAATATAAATTTTTCAATAAATAAAATCGGGCATCAATATTTTATTTTTTCCATTAGTTTTTGGATAATTTAAATTTAGAAACATTATCACAAAATATTTCAGGATGTGTGATCAAAATCTTCCAATTTTTTTTAAGTCAAAGTAGTTGTTATAAACTTTATTTTTGTTATTGATAGATTAATTACAATTTGTTTCTTTGAAACCTATGAAATTACATCATGAGTAAAAAAAAAAAAACAGTATAATCAGATTTGTTTTTCATATTTTCAAGATCTCTTAATAATTATAGGTACAATTTTTTTTCAATAATCTATGCTTTTCTTTTGAATGTAACCTTTTTATAGGAGTGTAGTCTTGAATTTATCAATCTACCTTGTATCTTTCTATTTAGTTTTGAAAATTCACTTTAACACCTATAATTTTGCAAATTGGTGGTAGATTAACCAGTTAAAAATAAAGTATCATTTTTTTAAATTGCTTGGATTTTAGCATCCATTTTTTTTATGTTTGATTGTATCATTGTATGTTACTACATACATATACAAATATGACAACATTCAAGACATCTTAAATAGGTGATTTTGAAGCTAGTGGAACAAAATAATCAACTACATTTAATGATGAGTTCGATGTTGGTGTTATTGTTACACTAAAAATTGCAGCTATTTCATTTGATTTGTCTTGTGTTTCTTTTCAATCACTAGTGAAGACTCTCCTAAATAATTCAGCTCACTCGTATTAAGTATACTATTGCCTTTTGCGTTATTCCAATCCTAAACCGCATCTTCCTGAAATTTAACACCTCTATTAATTAAAATTTTCTTCTTGACAGGATCAATAAGCTTGTAGGCCTTAGATTACTCAATTACACCTAACATCACACATTTAGTACTTTTATCATCAAGTTTGCTCCTTTGTTGGTCATGTTCATAAACATATCAAACGTAGTCAAAGATCCTGAAGTAGGAAACAAATGACTTAATTTCCCTCCATGCCTTCTCAAGGGTAATGTATTTTACGACAAAGTGGGACTTATGTTCAGAACATGGATAGCTACATTACAGCTTTAGGCCAAAATACTTTTGGAACTACTTTTTCTCCCACAACATTACAAATCATATTGATAATGGTTTTGATTTTTCCTTTCCATTACATCATTCTGTTGTAGTGTATATGAAGTTGTGAGTTGTCTTTAAATGTCCTGCTCATTACAAAATTCAATAAACTCCTTGGAGAGGTATTCTCTCCCTCTATCAGTACACAACATTTGAATAAAAATACCAATTTGTTTTTCATTTTTCTTAAAAAGGAAATATTCCTAAACTCTTATGCTCAAATCATCAAGAAAAGTGAGTCTGTACCTTTTATTTCCATTAAAAGTAGTACTAATATGACCACAAATGTCAGAGTGAATTATTTGCGGTAGTTGAGAAGCACACCAATTACTTTGTTATGAAAAATGATCTCCTTAATGTTTTTATTTGAAATAATGTTTACAAGATGAGTCAATGGCTTAAAGGAGGGAAATCCTTTCACCATAAACCAATAAAGTTTTCAACCCACTATAGTTCAAGTACCCATAATGAGAGTGTCAAACTTCTGTAGGTGGCACTGAACTAACCTCAAAACAAGATTGAGAAACTCCACATTTAACATCGACAACAAACATACGATTTGTAGTCATGGTTTAAAAAATAAGTCTCTTTTCTTAAAATATCTTACACTTATTTTGCTTTATTTCACTTTGTCAATCCCTTCTCTTGAATTTTCCCAATATTAAATGAATTATTTTTCAGTTCAAGAACATATAAAACATCACTAACCATATGCACAACCCATTAATTAAAAGTTTAACCATATTCTTCCCAACCATCTTTAGAAAATAATTATTCCTTAATTTCTGTTTATCATAAAAAGATAAATCAAAAGAAAAAAACCAATCTCTTTTACATGTCATATGGTTACTACAACTTGAGTCAATAAATCATATGTTATGTGCCATAAGTAACACTGATTCATCGTCACCCTCAACATAGTTTGCTTTGTTGTCTTGTGATTTGTTTGGACATTCATATTGAAAATTTCCAAAATTATGGCAGCGATAACACTTTATCATCGTCTTGTCTACTTGTCTGCCTTCTCGACCTCTACCTTTTCGTTTAATACCTCTATATGTCCATGTCTAACACCTATCTCATCTTGTGTAACCTTTAATAGTTGCTCGTTTTGCACATTGTGGTTAGTCATTCGCTGTATCGTACCTTGAGATCATTGAGCAATGAATCTTCTCAATGACATTAAGATTAAACACTCGTTCCCCAAACATCCTTATGTTATTTGTAATTGTGAGAGTTCAAACAAAATAGTTATTAATTGATTCTTCATTCTTCATCTGTAGAATATTCCATTCACGTCAGAGGGTTTGAAATTGTGATCGTTTTACTCTAACAATGTCTTGGTATTTTATGTTTAAAGAATCTCATATCTCCTTTGACATCTCCTTCTTCAAGACCGTTTCAAGCACAACTCGATCAATTGCTTGAAATAGATAATTTTTTACTTTTAGGTATTTTAGTCTGAGCTCCTCCATAGTCTTCTTTATTCTCTGTTAATGCTCATTCAATTTTGGGATGATAGGTTGCACAAAATTGTCATTCGTAGCCATGATTCAAATTTGTTGCTTCTTATTATTGTGAATCGAACTCTAAGACTAATAATTGTCACTTCATATGAGATTATATAGTATTTAGTATATATAAACGTGATTGAGTCCGTGTTATTGATAAATGAAAAAAAAAAATTAAATGTATAGACTTAGTTCTACAATTGAATTCCTAAAAAATAGGTAAGAATGTCAAAATAAACTTAGCCCGATGGACTGATCCAAAATACTCGAAAAATAGATTAAGCTAGGCAAAAAAAATTTTGACCTAAATTGAATTATACCTATTTTAACCTGACTTATTTAAGCCATGGTCAGACTTGCCCATAGGCTTATTGGTCAATCTATTTTTATAAAATAATAATTATTTTTTAAATAAAAGTGTTTGGTCTAGAAACAAGAGTATTTGATCTTATGTCCACTCCGATAACATCGTTATGATCATATTTAAATAATATTTTTTAATTTTGTTTCAAAAAATAATATGTCATTCATTTGTTCATTCAAAATTAACCTATAACCTATTTAGACAAAATAAAATCATGAAATATTATCGTACAAAAATTTATTGTATAAAATCATAAAATATCCACCTCTTTTGTATCTATAGTTGATAACAAAAAGTAAATAAATAATATTAAATCATTAAAGTTTGCATAATATAAAAATTAGAAAATATTGAATACTAATTTAAGTATACCTAAAGTCTAACTTGATCATGATCATGATCATGTACTCAATTAAGTATAAATGAGAGCTTGCACATTGGAAGTAAACAATTTTTATACTTGTTCATGATAGAACCGTTAATGCTAAATGAAGATTCTAAAGCTACCGTTATAATTGGAATAATTGGACACAATCAACAAAATGCTTAAAATATTACAAAATCAACAAAATATGTCGTCACTGTCATGTAGTATTGAGAAGTTATAGTTGACCATACATATACACTCTAACTTTCCCTTTTATGTTACATGTTATAAAAATATTTCTAGTAATTGATTTAAAATCAAGATTCAATTTTATTTACTTCTTAAACTCCCTCATACTCAATATAACTAAATGTAAGATAATACTTAATAATGAATCTAACAAATGCATTTCGGTATATTCAAATTTTCATTACTTCAACAGGTTAACCTTATTATCCGACCTAAATCTCATATCATTATACTTTAGAGATACACTGATATATCATGTTAAATGATTGGTCTCTAAAAACATGTGACAACAACAACAAAGAGAAAGAAAATAAAAAAAGAATTTAAGGTTTATTATTCTTTCTAAATCACACACACACACACACATATATATATATATATATAATAAAAAATATTATTAATTTAATTATTATTACATATATTTTCTAATAAAATAATATTACTTATTTTATTTTATTTTAAAAATTATTATTATTTTATAAAATGAATCAGCTCATAAGCCTACGAGTTAGTTTGACATAAATTCATTTAAATCATGACCTAGATAAGTCAAACTAAAATTAATTTGATTTTATTTAGACCATAAATTTCTAGGCTTAACTTAGTCTATTTTTCAGATCTTTCGGACTCACCTATAATGTAGAACCTATTCTTATAATTTATATATTAAATCATTATATCTTAAAAAAACTAATTTTACTAATAAAATTTAAATTATCAAAATATATTTTTATTTTTTATTTAAATGTTTTTTAATTAATTAATTTTGTATAAATATATTAATATTTAAAAAATAAAAATTAATCAAGTTAAATGATCTGATAGCTCGTTGGCTTAAATAGGTTTAAATTAAACTAAATTTTTTTACATATTTTAAAATATAGGTTAAATTAGAATAGATCATTAAATTTTTGTTACTTGATGCGGAAGACTAAAGTAAACTAAATTAAAAGTTCGATTTAACCACTCTACAAATTGGTCACTAATCCAAGTTAATAATATATTCCTAGTAATGACGGAGAAAACAAATAAATAGAAACATATATTTTGAAAAAAGATTTTGTAAACTAAGATTCTTTTGGCTCAGTCAACAATACATAGTACAAATTCATATATGGTAGGAGTTTCTCTATATCAAACAATTTTAAAATAAATCTGCAAGATACTGCTTTAATGATCTAGTTTTGCAGTGGTAATGTTTATGAAACCTCTATACATTACACCTCGGTACAACCTTCAGTACATTTTCTTTATAAGAAATCATCTTATATTGTAGTATAAGAAATCATCTTATATTGTAGTATAAGAACATTTATAAGACTATAAAGGTTAAAACTCTGGTAAAAAAAACATATATGATTTGAAAAGATGATTATTTTCATATTTGGTATACTGTAATGTAAATTTATAAATATTTTTTTGCAGTCATATATTTTAATTTTATGAATGCAATGAAAGAGAAGAGAGAATCTTTTCTGACAGCAGAGTAAGAGAATCTTTAAAAGAGAGGAAGAGGAGAACAAAGTAGAATGTCCTATTCTCTTTTGTCCATAGGCAAAACGCAACTTATAAACTGTGATTTTGATGTAAGAAAAAAAAAACACTTAATTGCATAATTTTAATATGCTTAGTTATATTAAGGGTGAACTTCATCGTGATTGCAAATTCATATATTGTGTTTTTTTTTTCCTCGTATCCATTAATTAATCAATGAGGTTTGCAGCAGTAATTTACAAGGAAAGGAGCAGAACAAATGATGATCTCACTGCAGAAGTATACAAAATTTCTAAGTTCAAAACAAGTGGTTTATGGATGTGAAATATGAGAAATATTTTAGTAATTTGAACATCACTCAGAAAACTATAAGAGCACAATTGATTTGGCAAATAGATCAATGAGTTGTAACCAAACACGTGTTCCTCTCATAACAACCAAAATAAAAACAGATACAAATCAAACTCTTTAAATAACCTCCTCATAACATAACCAAAACCAGAAAACACAAAACCTAAAACTGAAGACACAGTTTTTAAGCTCATATATGAGACCCACTAGCCTGCACTGCATGTATTCAGCACTTGATTTCCTTCAACCCGTAGGCAAAGTAGATAAAGGTTGGATCAGTGGCGCCTTCCTTGTAGTAAGCAAAGACAAGGCTCCCATCATCATGCATACTCTCACCCACAAAACTGCCACATTGATCACAGTAAGAATTCATTTATGCATGAAGAAAATGACTGTTATAAAAGTTAGCAAAAAAAATCCAGCATAAAAGAAAAGAAGATGAAGCACATACAATTGGAGGTCTTTGAGCTTTGAGAGAAGGAACTTTGTTGCTCCCTCAATGTGTTTCTTGAACAACTCTTGCTTCTCTGCCTCTAATTTGGGTGTCAGCAACTTAATGTATCTCTTTATGTAAGTCACAAATTGCTTTTTGTCAAAAGGTGGTTGCTCCTGAAAATTTAAAAAAGAAATAAACTGTTTCTTCTGCAGAAGAAATCAACGTATGGTTACCGAGAAATAAGCAATCCTCCTTTTACCTGAAGCCTAAAAGTGTCAACAATATCAACCACCTTCACAGCTTGATCATCAACACCCTCATCGTCCTCTCCTCCTTCTGCAGAAGGGTTGGCACCAATATCTACATTAACTGCTCCTTGAACAACCCACTGCCAAAAAGCACACGTTACACATAAGAAAGTTGAAGCAAAACAAGGCAATTGTGAAGTTGATGTGAGAAACACACTCTTTTAAGTACATTTTCTTGGTTAAAAATAAATGAAATTTGTAAAATTTGGTGAGTCTTATTCAAAGACTCTTCTCTGGTTTTATAACTTCCAATAAAAATCAATAAAAAAAGGTGGATAATAATGAATGGATTAGAGAGTGTTCCCAGCAGTCTCCCTTCACATATGTTTGGGACATCGGAAATAGTGCATGCAAAGAAACACAGATTCCTAATTATACAGATCATTCCAAACAAACCTTTCCTTCCACTTCCCACAGCATTCCATTCTCAATTTCCTTGTACGGGAATGAGTCAGAAAGAAGCTCATCACCTAAAAATTCATCAACAAATCGAAGTTCACAAGTAATTAAAATTATGATCCAATAAAAAAAAATCCTTAAGCAAGGAAAGCAAAAACCTTAACCCTTAACTAGCAAACACACCATCTGAAAATCAAAACCATGTTTAGGCCAACAGGCCCGTCATCATTAGGGTCTAGGAATGCATGCATGCATGCAACAAGTACAACACTTTTCAACAAAGAATTCACACTTGTATCACAATCACAACAATTGTTATCTTGAACAACATAGAAATTTAAATCTAAGGTAGACAGAATAGAAAACCCAAACTTGCAGCTTTTTGGGACAAAAACTCAATTATTCAAACCAATCTTGTGGCAGAAACGAGATATAAATCTCGAAAATCTTTACTGGACAAATAGCTTACCTTCCTGCAAAGAATAATTAGTCTAAAGAAGAGGAATTATAATCAAAAGAGGTCACACGAAAAATCTCAGAAACAAAACTCCTACTAGATCCAAAACCGTACAAAAGAAGACACCCAATTGGGTGGCAAAGGGAAAGAAAGAACAAGTTCTGAAATTGAAAAAAAAAAAAAAAGTATACCTGTAAGAAGATCCTGATAGACAAGCATGGTTACAGTGTTGTTTGTCTCTGATTCTAAAAATATAGGATGCAAAGCAGAGAGATTGAAGGTTGTGGAGAACAGAGGCGGTGAGGTTTTATAGAATGATGGGTGAGAGGTTCCTGATATTTATATTACAAAAAAAAATGTTCCTGATTTTTCTCCTAAATCCTTATCATATGATTATACTGTGTTTTATTTTCCTACTTTTTATTGTTTGATGATAAAGACGGTTAATTTTCACAAAATCTATTGGATACTGCTACAACTTTACCACTGCAACATACCTGAAAGTCCTCACAAAATAAGGGAATTCGAATTTGAAGATAAATCCTTCACCTCTTGTTTTTTAGTACATATCATTAATCCTTATTTAAATCTAATGAATATCTTTTTCGTTTGATAATGAATATTTTGTTGTTGAATTTCTGTATTATTTTTTATGTAAATAAGGAAAATTTTCTAGATATTTGAGTTTCGAAATATATATATATATATATATATATATATATATATATATATATATATATATATATTATCAGTATTCATAAATTTAATTTTAGTTTTTGTCTGTAAATTCTGATTTGTTTTAATTCGTGATTTTTTTAAATCCTGTATTTCAAAATAAAATCTTATATAATATATGTTTTAATTTTGATTATTTATGATCTAATTTAATATTTAGTTTTCTCTAAAAAAAACTGCTTTTCAATGTTTCCTTATTTTTCTTCCTTATCTTTATTTAATTTCTTTTATCTCTTTATTTAAACCAATTAGATTATTTTATCTTTTAATTCATGGAAAATTTCTATGATTTTTTAGAATAAGTTATCTCCGTCACTTTTAAATTTTTTTATTTCTTTTAACTTTGATGCTGATTTAAATTATTTATTTCTTAAGTAATTTTTGTTTTTTTATCCGTAATTTAGTTTAGTTTTAATATTTTCATAAATTTGAGGTTTTTTTTTACTATAATAACTTAATACATAATGAGATAGAGCATTGGTATTTAATTTTCATAAATTTTTTATATTGATATTAATTATATTTTGATAAAAAAATAGATTTTCAAAACTTATGGCTGAAACATATTTCATTTCATCTATGATTGATTTAATTACATTTTTACTGTGAAATCTGATTTTATAAAATTTCACAAACAATTAAAGTAATAGATAATTAAAATTTATTGTCAAAATGAGTAAATTTATATTTTATATTAAGTTAATAATTATGTAAAAATGAATATAAGATATATTAATATGATTTTATCCATAAGTATATGCATGTTGTGTGGCATGTAACTTACCCAATGGGTTATTATTATTAGGTGATCATAAATAACTATTTTAGCATGTGTGTGTAATGGAATATCCTCTATTGTGAGATATATTCTTCTGAGATGATGTGCAATGAATGAGGAAGTGGGGTAAGAATAAAGAATAAAGGTGAGACCAAAATGTTGACCACTATTACTCAATTTACAATAACAAATAAATTTTATAAAGAAATATATTATTTTATGGCTGTTTTTTTTATTTTTATTCTATCGTGTTTTATATGTTAACATATCATATTTTATCAGTAAAAATATCAATAATTTATATTGTAAAAAAAACTGATAAATTATAATGTTTTAGAATAACTTACAATAATTTTCATATAATGTTCTATTACATGTGTATTAAAAAAATATATTTTTTAACACTTATGTACATATGAGTGCCATAAAAAAAAAATGAAAGACATAATTTTTAAATCTTAATAGGACGAAAAAACAGTAGTAGATACAGCAAGACAGAAATAAAAGAAGTAATTAAAGTTAAAATACAACAAAATAAGTGGAAAAAAATATTTAAAGTCAAAGGAGGGTGAAGGCACCTCCAATAAATCATAACCGTCGGTGGAGTTGATTGGACAGGATTGATTAGGAGTCAGAGGAAGAATCCAACGATCCCGATTGGATTGAAGGGAAAACAAAATCCGAAACAAATTCATTCAATCTTCTTCATCCCCAAGGCAGACCAAACCAAAGACTTCAGATCTCAGATTACACCTTTTCCTTACATTTCTCTTCCCTGTCATAACCCGGACAACACCAATTCAATCAGGAATTGTTGTTGGTCGTTCTTTCTACCTTCTGTTTCAATTTTAGGGTTTTGTAATGGGTCTTGGTAACGATGAAGAGGACGATAATAATAACAATACCAATAGTAATAAAGTTGTGGATGACGAAGGAGATGGTGATGGAAAGTCTTTCGTCTCAGTTCCTTGTTCTATTTGTCTTGAACTTGTTGCCGATAATGGGGATAGATCCTGGGCTAAGCTTCAATGTGGTCATCAATTTCATCTCGGTAACTTGAATTTCTCTATTGCAAATTTGATGACATACATGTTTTTTCTATTAGAATGGTACAGCTTGTGCATTCATATGCGAATGCATCAATCGATTTAAACTGCAATAATCGAGATCTGGAATTTTTTTTGTTTGTTTGTTTTTTCTTCGCCTTGGTCGATGATTTAGATATAAGAATATAAGAATACTAAATGAAGTATTTATGACTCTTATTCTTAATAATAATATGACATGTTCATTGTTTTTTGGGCTTCAAAAGCCCAAGAGATTTGGGTTATTATGGATGTCAGTTTGATTGACGGTCTGCTTTGAATGGAGAATTGAGGTGCATTGAGGTAATGTGACCTAGCCACACATGGAAGTTATTGTGGATGGTTGGATATAACAGTTTTTCTTTTGAAAACTTTAAGATTCTAACAGATTTTACTGGTTTTATCCATTACGTTTGTTGATTAATGATGCCGGTAACGGTTATGCTGCTAGTTAGGCTTTAGGATGAAATTGTGAAGATCTAGATTAGTTTAAGTAGAGAATCATGTTTATATATAGAGAAGTTTGGCATTACCGTGGTCTTCATTAATTGCTTAACAAAGAGATTGTGATGTTTTGAGTTTGACTAACATTATATAAATTTGGTGGAATTTCTGCATAATACTTGTAACTGCTCATCCTTAACCGTATGTATTGACAGTTTTAAATATCTCTTGTCAACGGTGAGGAAATCTGGGGCCTGTGATTTCATTATCTTGGTCTTGCTGAGTTGATACAAATTCAGACGTTTTGGCTAATTTTCCATAAATTTGGTGGAATTTTTGCATAATATGTGCAGTTGCTCATGTGTAACAGTATGTATTGATTGCTTTTATTAGGTCTTGTTTACATCGAGGAAATTCTCATTATCTCTTGTTAAATTGCTTAACAACAAAAAATTGTGGCGCTTTGACTAACTTTTTATTAATTTGGTGGTATTTCTGCATAGCATATGTAGTTGCACATGTTTAGCAGTATGTATTGATTGCTTTTGATAGGTCTTGTCAACAGTGAGAAACTTCGGACTGTGTGATTTCATCGTCTTGGTCTTTTTGAATTGGTTAATGACAAAAACTGTGACATTTTGACCAACTTTCCATAATTTTGGTTTAATTTCTGTATAATATGTGTAGTTTCTCATGTTTAGCAGCACGTATGATTGCTTTTAATTGGTGTTATCCGTAGTGTAGAAATCCAGAGTGTCTTGTTGAATTGCTTTACAACAAAAATTGTGACGTTTTGACTAACTTTTCATTTATTAGGTGGAATTTCTTCATGATACATGTAGTTGCTCTTGTGTAGCAGTATGTATTAACTGTTTTTAATAGGTTTTATCAACAGTGAGAAACTCCAGAGTATGAGATTTCGTTGTCCTTGTCTTGTTTTTGGTTAATGACAAAAAATGTGATGTTTTGACCAACTTTCCATAATTTGGTGGAATTTCTGTATAATATATGTTGTCGCTCATGTTTAGCAGTATTTATTGATTGCTTTTAGTAGGTCTTGACAACATTGAGGAACTCCAGAATGTGGTTTCTTTGTTTTTCAGTGAAACCCAGCAAGTGTGGACAGCTATGATGTATGGATACGATACGAGTTTCAGACACGATTCGTATCCGATATGTTAATTCTAAAAAAAAATACATATAAGATACCTATTTAAAAATATAAATAATTATTATAAAATATGTTTTACTATTTACATATAAGAATAAGACTATTATTCTCATTAATTTCTTAAAATACTTCATAAGAACAATTTTTTTCTTTGATTTATGACAATTAATATTTATACATTTCTACTTTATAGATATATATGTTTCTTAAACTTTTATTGAATATGAATGATTTAAAAGTTTTGACATTTAACTGACATACACATTGGTACACTATTTAAAAGTATTATTTGTAAAACAAATAAAAATATTGATGCTTCATAGGTTTGGATACTTCATTGATACGTATTAGTGACGTATTCGACATGATACGTACGAGATATGGATACGTGAAGCAAATTGAAGTACGGGTGCTTTATAGGTGGACAAACTCTTTCATAGAATCCCTTGATTCAATGGATTTCAAACTTCATACACTGAAATGATTTACATTTAACTTACAATATCCACATTTCGAGCTTGATGCCCCCCTCCCCCAGTTTTAGTAATAGATGTCCTCCATTCTTAGCTTGGTTATTAGATCATGGACTTAGGAGCCATTCAGCCTCTTGGCTGAACATCAGCTACTTGCCGTCTGGATGGAACTCACTAGAGTTTCTCCTATCTTTTCCTTGATGAAGTGTGAAAACATGCATTGTCCGATACTCCTATCATGCTTGTAGGGATGATTTATATTGATTTCCAACTTCTGGTTACAATGGAGCTTCATGAGACCTACCAACTTGACTTCTAAGTCATGAAGGATAACTTTTTTCCATAGAAGCGCAGAAGCTCCTTAGATAATAGATTTGAATTTTGATTGTGCAGATGATCTAGCTATCATGTTATGTTTTTACTTTTTCATTTAACTAAATTTCGTTGTAGGAAAATACAATATGTGAATATCTACTAGTGAATCTGTATAGTCTGCGTTAGTGTGATAAGAACCCTGCTAGAACCTCACCATAAAAAAGAGAGTTGTTGTAGTCGGAAATCCCAACAAGTTCTTGTTAAACCTACAACATAATTCTATACATCAATTGCAGGACTCAAGTCCCATACAAATTGCCTTGGACTACTTTGGTGAACAGTGTAATAGTAACGTCATTGCCTATATAGCTCGAATGTAGTTGAGAAGAATGTTGAAAGCTCTTATACCAATTGATAAGAACCAAAGGCTTTATAAACCCAAGACAATCCCACACCAGAATCCCTACTTTAAATGTGGGACTAAACTCCCATATCTCTCTTTTTGATCCTGACTTGAGGTGTCAAGTAGGCTGGCCCAGCCTGACGGACCACTTAAACTCTGTACTAGCTTGACCTGACCCGTATTCTAAATGGACTATGTTTTTTTGTCTTGATCTGGTCTAAGAGATCCATCTGCCTTGTACTTTAATGTGAAAATCCTTTTGTAGTAAGCAATATCCTTCCCTTTGGGTTTGTCAACAATATCTTGTATCATTCTTTTCCAAGGCATTCATCCTTTTTCATAGCATCACTCCATTTAAATTTTTGACAAGGACTCAAAATAATGTTGGGGACGACAATAGAGTTCAAACAAACTCAAGGACCTTTTTATTGATTGGCTGGTAAAGACAAACATAGTTTGATAGAGGATACAGGATTTTTTTGTTCTCTTTCCAGTACCATTTATAAATCAATGAGAAGATCTAGGTCATCTGTAGGGCTGGAAGGGACTTCATTTATTTATACAGATCTGTCCACCATCTCAATTTCAGGCTGGATCTTCATTTTAGTCACCTTAGAGAATCTTGATGAATTGTGACTAATACTTTGACAGTGAGATTCAATGGCAGATTTGAGTAACTCATTTTGTGGTCCACAGGCTGATTTAGGAGACTTTATATTGAGTTCAATCTCTGAATTAGGAGCAGAGTTTATTTAAGCTGGAGTACCCTAAGATGGGCAGTACTTGCTGACCCTTTGATTTTTTAAGGAGCTCACATTGTTCATCATCTGTCATTGGAATCTTCTTTTGAGAAGACGTATTGGAGAGAAAATTCTATTTTCATTGAAGGGGATACCAGCAAATATGTACCATTTTCTGCAGAAGGGGTCATATCCCATGTAACCTTTTTGAGTCACATAATAACTAAGGAAAACACACACAGCGGACCTAAGGATCAAGTTTGCCTCTGTTTGCTGTGAATATGAGCAAACGTTTTACATCCAAAACACTGTTGGAATTAGTCCATTTAAGGTCTTGAAGTAAGGATAAAAGCTGTTTAAGATCTCTATGGGACTTCTGTTGGGGGAGGTTTATTTATCACGAGTGAGGCCATGAGAGTAGATTGTTTGTAATAATATAACCTTTGCTTGAAGGATAAGAGCTTAGTTTTTGTTGAGAAATTGCTCATTTTTTCTCTTGACCTCTCCATTTTTCTGGTGTGTTGACACATGACGAATCATGGTTATTTCCTTATTAGAAAGTGAATTTTGCTCTAATTCAATTCTATAAAACCATTTTGTAAAGTGTGATTTACACTCTACTTATATACTATAATTTGACTATATTTTTATGCATCCCCTAATGACAAGGATTGAGCATTTTGAGAGTGTGCAACTGAATATTTGTGGATTATTTGATATTAGTGGGTGGGACAATAGGCAACAAAACTTGTTAAGTTTAGCTTCGGTACTATATTAGAAACTGGATTTGATCTAACTTAACCCAACAATACTAGCATATAAGGTTATGTTTACATTCCACGTGTATACTATAATTTGGTTTGCAATACTTATGATAAGGATATAAAGTTCAATTGAAATATAATTCATTCCTTGTCTGATCTAAATCTTGTTATTGTGATCCTTGTCGATTTTTAATCATTGACAAATGGGCATAATAGTAATCACACTAGCTTTTTGCTGGAGAAGATAAAATGGAGTGACCTCTGTGCAGTCATCACTGCTTCCCCCAAATTGTTGCTTTTGCAATGCTGTTTCCATCATTTTTCCTTTTTAGTGCCTTGGTCTTTCGCAATAAGAACTACAAATTGTTGATGTTCTCCTTCCCCTGGTTCTTTACATGATTGTGGAATTGCCCTTGTCCCACACATTGTATTTTGGGTCTTTCTTCCCTGGTCTCTGCTCAAGTAGATGACTACGGCATCATTTGCTCTTGGGATAGATATGAACAAACTGGGACCATTTGAGATAGTTGTTTCCATTGAAGCCTATAAGAGGTTCAAATGTGAGATAATCCTATTCGCAGATATGAAATCCTTGATTGAATCTAAAATGCTCAATACAATGGTCTTAAATTCAGATCCTAGGTCTCTTGAATCAAATGTTTTTTATATAGAAAGTTGGATCAATATGTATGGTGTTTGGTTTTAATATGGTGGAATTTCATATCCCTATTTGAAATGAAGGATGCGACATAAACATGGTAAATCTTATTTTGAAATAAAATCAGTACAATTGAATGTCACTTACTGAGCTCACCTTATCAGTGGAAAATGATTCTCTTTTAGGGGAAAGATGGTATGTTTTGTCCCTCCTTCCCCTTTGTTGTTCACTTTACAATATTATCTCTTGTTTTTCTTATACTGATCAATATAATCCAGTAAGTGGAATATAGAAGAAATAGGCGATGTCATGAATTTCTGCATGCAGTGATTTCTTGTTGACAAAAACATATAATAGTAATATTCTTATGCTTATTATTGATTTATATTATTTAGATTGCATTGGTTCGGCATTCAACATAAAAGGAGCAATGCAGTGCCCTAATTGTCGGAAGATTGAGAAAGGTCAATGGCTTTATGCTAATGGTAGCCGGTCATATCCAGAATTTAGCATGGATGAGTGGACACATGATGAGGACCTTTATGATCTTGGCTACTCTGAGATGGTAAGAGTCCTGTTTACTTATTATTTGTGTTTTCATTTTATGCTTGCACCTGATCGTTGGCTTTCATAAATACTCTTTTATTGGTTAGATTTTTTGTGTGTGTAAGAAAGACAAAAATTGCAAACTTGTTCTTTGCTTGGTATTATCAATAAGATTTTAACCTGAATGTTTTATTGGGATTTGGGAGGGCAGTTAACTTTTTGCTACATAAAATTGTACAAAGTTATGGAGCAAAAGCAGATGTGTAGTTATCATCTACATTTAAGAAAAAGGGGAAGCTAATCAATTTTATTTCATTATCTCCTTTGACCACATATGAATGTGGCTTCATCTTCCTTACGTCTTCATTGCTCTATCTTTTTTTTCAATCTGTACCTCTCAGTATACGACAAACATCTGCTGGTATTGTTTCTCTCCATTGCCATTTATAAGTCAATAAATCTAGATGAAATTCATTTTCCAATGTATTAGTTTGTTGGACTTTGACTTTTAAGGTTGGTATTACAACTCTTCTGATTGGAATTTTTTTTTTTTTAAGTGGATAGATAATATTTTGCTCACCATTTTGACTACTTTTTTAATTGCATGGTTTCTGCAGTCTTTTGGAGTTCATTGGTGCCCTTTTGGCAACCTGACAAGACTTCCATCATCTTTCGAGTAAGCCTAACGCATACAGCATAATGTTTATTTTGCTTCATAGACTTGGACTTGGCATTTGCTGTATTCTTTTGTTCTTTATAGTGTCTAACCTGTGGTTTGTGCACTTAAAGGAAACATGTATTGGGATTTTTGGAAAGACTGGTTTGCAAACAAACTGTTATTTTGTTACAGTGTGCGACATTAACCATATCTGACGTTTATTAATATAGTGGTAGTTTTCACATATCACATTAACATCTATTATGAAGGGTTGGTGCAACGCGAAGCAATACACAGAAAGTAAAATGTTAATATGAAACCTAATTAGGTTATTTGAAGTCAAATGTGGTTAAAGCTACCAATGGTATTAATAAATCTGAACTCTGAAGTCCTTGGCTATATTTTAACCACCATCGTGGTAAACAAGAGAAAATTGTTGCAAAGGCTAGTGGAAATCTTGAGGAGCATGGCAATTTTAAAGGTGGTAGTGTAAAAAAAAAAATTAAAGTTTACGTGTGAGCATGTTTGGTTGTGCATTGGGAGTTAAAAATGATGCAGAAAATGCTAGTTTTTGGAATTTTGAAATGAAATGTGAATAATAGATGAAAGATCCATACATAAACTTTGTTGCTCCGTAATTGTTTGTTTACATGGAACTTCTTTATTTCCTCTCGTTTAAATAAAGAATTGGACTTCTGGTGTAGTAGCTAGCTATACTTGGGATTCATCGAAATCATAATGTATCTGTCTGGTTTTGGTAGAAACTACCAAAGGTTTACACAAATAGCATTTAGTTTTTTTTGGGGGGGTGGGGGGAGGTGTTGTGTCGGATTTTAATTTAGATCCAATTGGCTACAAGTGAAGTTCTCTAATAAATATGTAAGTTATATCCAAAGAATTGAGGCGGGTTATGTGGGGATTCTCCCTATCATCCCCCTTCAACGGGATGTTTATTATAATAGGTGATGATCAAGATGTCAATAGGCATTGACCAAAAAAACTTTGGTACCATATTAGATTTCAGCTTAGATTCAATTGACAACGTGACAAACATCTTAATCATTGCCTATTATAGTAAACATCTTTTTAGTTGGGGGAGATGTTGGAGAGTCCCAAATTACTTGCTTCAATTCTCAGAGTGCGACTTATATATATATATATATATGTTGGATCCTTTACTCAAGGTAGTCAAAATAAAAATTTTAGGTTGGATAATGAGGGGTTCACAAACTCATAAATTATGAAGATCCTACTCTACATAAATATAAGATATTTGACCATATAATGCTCCAAATAATATAAGATTAACTTTTATAAAATATACATATAATCTTTTAAAAAATACCTTTGAAAATAAAATATGATGAATATTGTTAAATTTAATAAATTGAATTAGTGTATATTAATTTTGACTATTCACTTATCACCAATAAGTTGAAATTTGATATGGTATTACAGCCTGTTTAGTTTCGCCTATTTGTAGAAGACATCCTCGCCTTCTTAGTTTTACTTATTATAGTAGACATCTTCTTAATGGAGGGGATATTGGGTGAATCCCACATTGTTTGTCTCAATTCTTTTGGTGTGACTTATATTGTTGGACCCTTAATTTATTGTCAATTTGATTTAAAGCTTAAATTTGACATGGTAGCAAAATCTTTTTTTGTCATCGTCTATTCTAGTAGACATTTTCTTAGTCATCACCTATTGTAGTAGACATCTTGTCAAAGGGGATGTTAGATAAAGTCCCACATAGCCTTTCTTAATTCTCTGGATATGGCTTATATATCTGGTAGACAACTTCACTTATCACCATTGGTTCTAAATTGAAATTTGACATTGTGGTGGTGTTTATTTCATAACCCTAAAAACCAAAGGATGCAATCTTATGTGTAAGGGTCTCAAAATAGATCTGGCCTGATAGGCTAGTAAAAAAAAAGATAAATAGGCCTATGTAGACAAAAAAATTGGAATCTAAATTGAATAAGTCTATGACCTAAATGAACTCAGATCAGGTTAGTTTGTAGGATTAAGGGTTGATCCATTTTATAAAATTATAATTTTTTAATTTAAGAAGGGATCAACTTACTCAAAAGGTAAGAGTTTGAGATTTATTTTTCATTTTCATCATTCATTCTCTTGTAATTTAAAGGTTAAGATGAATTAATATTTTAGATCATTAGATTGCTTAAAAATGGAAATGAAGAGTATGTCTCTAACTCTTTTTGTGTGAGTGAATGGATCACTCCTCTTATAATTTATATATGAAACCATTTTAAATTAATTTTACTATGTTCTATGCAATGGAAGATGGTTACCCTTTGTTGGAGAATTGCTTCAATTGGGGAGTTGCGATGTGCCAATACAAGTTACTTAAAAGTTATGAAAGTTACTTCAAAAAACATATGTTCCTTAAATAAAATATATATTTTTTTCTTCGCATTGAAAGTTGGGATTTTAGGAAGGGAAAGACAACATTAAAAAGAATTTAGAGTTTTTTTTATCTTGAAGCAAAATTTGATAAAATTTCTTAAATAGAAGATGGCAATGTGGTTTTATAAAATACAATTTTCTATGTATCAAGAAACTCAAATGCTTTTACCAATGAAGATGTTCTAATATAACTTGAATTTTGAAAATACATTTTTTTAATTTTTTAGATAAATTGTTTTTTTATATAAATATGATATCATTTTTTTAAGAAAATTCAAATTATGATTTGTTTGAAAATATAGGTGAGTCATTAAATTTTTTTACTTGATTCGTAAGATTAGGTTAGGTTAAGCTACTTGTTTTCATAACTCTACATATGTGCTTTGAAAAGGGGGTATATTGACACCTAAATTTTTGTTGGTTAAGATAATATTGCAGTTAATTTAAAGCGAGGATGGATATGAAATGGGTGTTTTGTTAGGTCTAGTTTCAGAGGAAAAACATGGTTAATAGGGGATTAGATCCCATTTCTCTTACTAACAGAATCACGACCTTTTTTCATCATAAAATCGAAAAGGGGAGTTGGCTAGAGTCAGTTGAGAGTTGTGAGAAGGAAATTAAGTGGGAGAGTCCAGATCTCTTGAATAACTGGGCAAGGTTGATTCTTTGATACCTGTTGGAAGTCTCACATTGTCTGTCTTATGTCATGTGGTATGGTTGAAATACCTGTTAGGTTACTCCACATATTGTCAATTAGTTTTATGTTGGAACCTTAACGTGGTATCAGAGCTAAAATCTAACTTCTTTCTGGTTATTGTCTTGGCTCAAGAATTGTCCTTTCATTATGAGTCAAAAGTACTCTTTGTTTGATCCGATAGACTTCGTTGGAGGGAACATGTTGGAAGTCCCACGTCACTTACTTTATGTCATGTGGTATGTTGGAACCTTAACGATACCAATTCCTAGATTGATTCTCTTTAGTAATAAAAATTATTGCTTGAGTTCTACCTTATTTTCTAGTCCATTTCTTTCACCTTGTCCTATGCCTTGGCAGACTTGCTACCTCCCTAGTAATCTTTTGGAATGATGAACTTTGAAGTTACCCTCCTTCCCTCATCCTTTTTTCTTCTTTAGTAATGTAATTGGCTAATTAAGTGAGTTTGAGTACACTTTTGCACCCCCTAAAAAGGCCCAGTTATTCTTTCAAGTTGGGCTCATGGTTGGGAATATTTCAGTATGTTTCTTGTCGTTGCAGTTGCAGCCAAAATAAAGGCCTGTTGCATACTTGTTAGTGAATTTAACCTTGGTATGTAGGTTGTTATTGTTACAACATACTTCTAATTTGTTCAACCATAAAAAAGTTTTCCTACCCTTATGAATGTACTTTAATTAGATCTATAAAAATGGGATTGACCCGCGAGGTTGGCTTTCCTTGCCATTTTAAAGGGGGAATATAATAGTGCTGTATATTTTGTACTATGTTGAATGCTACCCAAATTGAGTATTGTCTGTTCAACATGCAGGTTGAGTAAGGGGATGAGTTAAACATTTTTTTTTCTTTGTTAATGAATAATTGTTTTACCTTTGAATGTTAAATTTTTTAGGCATTTTTTAAGAGACTATCTACCCACCTCCTACACACACATAGAAGGAGAATAGTAGAATGTTTATTCAACTAATATTTATATTCCTGATTTTTCCAGGGAAGCAGAGTTTTCATCATCTGCATGTAAGAGATCCCTTTTATAGCTAATCAGCCTCTCCATTTTCTAAAATTGATGTTTGCTTTGCACTGAAACTCTTAATTTACTGGAATGATGAGATGCAGATCATGATGTATTGGGACAACATGCTATATTTGCTGAACATACAGCTGTGTCATCTGCCAGTCATCCTTGCCCTTATATTGCTTACTTTGGACCAATACATCCATCTTCCTCGAATTCCGGTGGAACTGTATCCGAAGCTTCAAACTTCAACCATTGGAATGGTTCATCTGTGCCGAGTGACATACCAAATTCATACTCATTTCCTGCTGTAGATCTTCATTATCACAGTTGGGAACACCACTCCTCTCCTTTCTCTACAGCAAGTACTCGTCTAGTTGCTTCTGATCAGCCATCAGTATCCCCTGGTAGTCAAAGGCCAGTCAGGGGTGGTTCAGATATACCAAGATCAGGATCTTTTATGCATCCGTTCATTGTTGGTCACAGGTACCACTTTAGAGTTGCCACGCCTTAGCAAATTATATTTACTTGCATGAATATAATATTTGTTCAAATTTAATTTGATCAGAGCGCTAACCCATGATATATACTCCTCTTATAACATTAAATACACAATGATATTTGGTTATAAAAGATAAAAAGTGATAAGTTTGATCTTCCGTGCACTTTTTGGGGTTACAAATGCTTTAATTTCTGCAGTCGTACAACTTTGAATGCACTAATTTCTGCAGTTCTGCTGCCAGAGCGGGGAGCTCAGTTGCTTCCTCAATGATCCCTCCTTATCCTGGTAGCAATGCTCGGGCTCGGGACAGAGTTCAGGCTCTTCAGGCATACTATCAACCACAACAACCGCCTAATTCAACCACAATGCGAACACCTATCACTACTGGCTCCAGACGGTCCAGCAGTCACAGTGGATCAGCTCAGTTAGCACCAATAGCCACATCGCCAGACCAGAGTGGTGGTTTTTTTCTTATCCCATCAAGTTCATCAGGACGCAATTTTCAAGAAGAAAACCATCTACCAAATCACTTCCATGCTTGGGAAAGAGACCACTTGCCTTCGTTGTCATTGAGCCATGTTGAAAGAGATGCAGGTTGGAGAGCGTACCACCAATCCAGCAGCAGGTCAGACCCCGGTACCAGGTCTAGTAGCTTCCGTTTAAGGCACGGATCAGATAGAATGCCTTCACAAAATCGGTAATACCCTTGTATCCTGTTCACTGTGAAGCAAACTACCATTACTATGGAAAATTATGTATGCTTTGAGAAATGTTACATATTGCTTTGGCACTTTGGCCTTTGGGTCTGTCCTGTTATGACAGACTATATACTCTGGCTGGCCTTGGAATTTATTTTTCCGACAGCCACCAGTGTGATGGACATTTGCTTCCTCTTAGTTTATTTGCCTCGGTGGGCATAAAATAAACGCTTTATCTAGTTGGGGGAATCAGGTTTTGGAAGAAATACTGGGGCGTTGTCATTTCAAGTGATGAATCAAGTGGATGAAGGCAGCTATGGTTGGATGGATTTGTAGCGGGTCAACTATTTATGTTTGATAACGATGCTCATGCAAAACTGTGTATTGAGAATACAAGTAATTTTACTTCTACTCCTTGGCAAGAGTGATTTGTAAACTGTTGTGCAAGAATTTGACCCAAGGCTATGAAAACTACCACACCTCCCAATAATCGATGTTCAAAGCCCCATTTTCAAACAATCGTAAAAGTCCTTATCTTATAAAACATTACATATTTCGTAACCAACGTGGGGTGGCGCTTTTTATAATTTGGACCGCGTACACGTTGAGACTTCAATTTCATTCACATTTATAATTTTCTTTTTATCGCAATTTATTTATTTATTATACTCATCATAGACTCTCTCTCTCTCTCTCTTCTCTAGGTCTCACCTTTTTCATTGTAAATTTTGTTTTACAATAATTAAACACAAATTTAAAACATTATCTGGCTTAATTTAATTCCTGAAAAGAAAAACTGTAACTAAACACTTGATTTAGTCTCCAAAAAGTACCTTAATTAATTCAATCTTGAGAAAAGATACGATCTTCTCGTAATATGCTGATTTTTACAAAAAAGGATGTTAAATATATTGATTTTCTTTGCATACACTTACCTCACGAGTGTTAACTTTTGGTTTTGAAATTAGGTATAGTTAATGCTTTGTTTGGTTTAGAAGATGAAAAGTAGAAGAGTAAAATAAAAGTAAGTGGAGAATGAAATGATTTAAATTACATTAAATAGTAAAAAAGAATAAAAGGTAAACTAATTTTTTTATTATTGATAATTTTTTCCATTATTAATATTATTATATTTATTTTAAAATAAGAAAAAAATAGTTGTATAATAAAGATTCCATAATCAATTACGATAATGTTTTAAACTAAAAACATGTTAAAAAAACTAGTTGATTATGACGTTACCAAAATTTGATTATGTAAATTTTCATCTTTTTTATTTTCTTTGATTGTTCCGATTCGCCAAAAGTGAAAGAATCATTTTGTACCATAAATTTACTTGTGCTTTCTCCCTTGAGGATAAAAAATTGTGCCTAGGTGATATATACAACAAGAAAATTCCCTGGTTTTTGAGTAAGTGATTAATTAATGATAAAGTATGATGGGATAATATAACAGAAGAATTAATCTGTGACTTTATTTAAAAAATATATAAATAATATTATAGATAATTTTGTGTGATTTTATTTATTATGTGTGATGATATTCTTTTACTTTCTGCTAATCAGAACAAACAAATAAAATAAAAAGAGGAAAATTTACTTAATCAAAATTTGGTAATCTTATAGTCAACTACAATTAATGAGTTTATGTGTGTTCAAAGGGCTGCTTAAAAATCCAGGTATTTACGTAAACAAAACTTCACTATTATAAATTTTGTCAAATTATAAACTATAAAAAAATTATCTAATTTTAAACTAAAAAAAAAAAATATGCGGATTTAGCAAATTATAACTGTTTTTGGTGTTATTGAAAGGAGGGAAAAAAATATCATATAATAAGAAGAGCGAGAACATGAAAATACTTAAAGAAAAAATATTTTAAAAAATTTAATCATAAAAAAAAAACATGGATGTATAAGTGTTTTAATACTTGTTTCAGCTTTAAGATATAAATAATAATGATTTTTTTAGAACTGTTTTTAGAATTAGATGAGAGAAAAAAATCTAACATATATAATAACTGAAGAAAAAAGTGATATATATATATATATATATATATATATATATATATATATATATCTAAAAAGTGAAAAGAAAAAAAATATTTTAAAAAATAATTAAAAAAAATACATTAGTATATAATAAATTGTATGTTTAAATTGAAAAAGAAAAAACATTGGACCAATGAAGAACATGGACAACAAAGATGTCATGGTTGTTATGCACGTGTCATCCGCAGAGACTAAACTTGGGATGCTTATATTTTTCCTCGACCCATAAAAGTGAAGAATTTTCATTCGCGTCTTCCGTTGGCTTTAATCAGTATCTTCTCATCTCACTCGGGTATTCCTTCTCTATAACATGATTTTTTTTTGTTGTTGTCGCAAGATTTTTCAGTCACATGCTTGTTTTTCCTCTGAATTTTCACATTTTTCTCGTAATTCCTAATGGAAAGTTAGGGTTCGTTTATTCTATCGTCGTTTTCCCATTTATTTTCAGTCACATGCTAGACACCTATACGAGCATTGATTGATCGAATTACTCAACGAAGTTAAGTTTTGATTTCATCTTCCTTGATCGATTCTCGTTGTGGTGGCTTATTCGGCTTGTGATTCTGCAATAGGGAAAGCACAAGAATTCTTTGCTGTTGATATTACTCCTACTAGTGTGTTTGTGTGTGTCAGAAGGAGTGACTAATTGCATATATATTATTCTGTTTCATTAAGTTGTCCAATAAAACAAAAGTACTGAAAGAAAACATACTCTTGATGGCTTATGTGATACTTTCCCTATAAATGATGTGCTAGCAATTTCATTTGATTTCAATGAACTTGCTACAGACAGCTCAAGCATATGTGTGGCTATAATATTATATGATTGTTCTAGAGGTTTTTCCTCTTCATTATATTGTCAATTATGCATTATGTTTTAGCTGAATTGATTCAGTTGTTTACGTTCAATATATGTAAGTTTATAGTAAAATTGTTTAGTTTGTTATTGAAACTATTCTCTAGGGTGAAAAATGAGTGGACGGTCAAGTCGCACAATTTATGTTGGCAATCTTCCTGGTGACATTCGCTTGAGAGAAGTTGAGGATCTTTTTTACAAGGTATGTTTTTTTTTAAATCAATTAAGATATATTTCTGAAAAAAAAAATTATGTATTGTTATTCCTATTCTTATGATTGAATACACAGTCAAACACACACTAGAAGAAAACAAGTAAATATCCAAAATGGGAATTAGGAATAGGGAGAAATAATTTCGGATCAATCCATAGTACCAAATCAAATTATCTATGGTAACTAGGAGAAACCTATCAAGAGTTGCGAATAAATACAAACCTATAATTACAAACTACAAATATGTACTCTTTGAAAGCAAAAAAATGTGAACTTTAAGTTACCATGATGCTTATTGTTTGAGAAAATTATAAAGACACCCCGTGAGATTTTCTCAAATTATATTTATACATACTCCTCTCTTTTTTTCACCATTAAAATGGTGTCCCTTATTGATAGGAGACATACATAGGCAAAGGAAGCAAAATGAATGAACAAAACAATGGAATTGGCGTGAGATGAATAACGGAAAAACAAGAACAGAATAACAATGTAATTAATTGAAAAAAAGAAGAAGATGGAGAAGACTTAGGAATTGAGAACATGCCACTTGAAGAACATCTTCAAGATAAGTTTAAGGAGAATCTCAATTTCAATATATTTCGAAGGTGAATTACAAAAGGTGGAGATGATTATATATAGCTATTCTGAAAATTCAAATGAAAATAAAAAGGAAATTTCAAAATTCAAATTCGTATTCTAGATTAGGGGTGTTTATTGGGTTAAGTGATCTGATAACCAAATTCAATCAAATCCAATTCAAATAGATTGGGTTGAGTTTTCTTTTTTATTGGGTCAACCCAATTTTTTAGAGATTGTGTAACGAGTTTTGTATGTACTATTTGAGACTCAATTCATTCCAATCTAATCAAAATCATTAAATAATATCAACATTAATAATAATTATAATATAACTATTATTTAATTTATTCAATTATTTTATTAGCTGCATATGTATTTTTTAAATATTAAATTATTAAAATATTAATTAATATAGTTTATTTTCTAAATAAATATTCTAAAAATTGTAAACATAATTTGAAATTACAAATTAATAAAAAAATATTTTTAAAAATCTTTGACCAAATTGATCCAACCTAATCTAGGGTGGGTTGGGTTGGATTGAGTATAACAAAAAAAATGCAAAAACTCTATCTTTGTTCGTACACTCATCACTTATCCAGGGGGTTGTTGTGTAGGTGTAATATTTTTAAAGCTTAAGAGGGTGCATGTGTAATGTAAAAAAAAGAGATGTCAATGTAATGTTTTTAAAACAAAGGAAATGTTTGTGTACAATTTTAAAGTAATTGGGGTGTCATATAATTCGACAAAACCCCTGGGATTGTCAATGTAATTTACTCTTTTTGTTTTATTAGCATTTGGGCATGTTATGGTTTGATTAGCTGTATAATTGTGATAGCAAAAGCAGTAAAGAATCCTTACAGTTCTGTTCTGTCAATTATCATGCACTATTTTACGCCTTCACTTTCTTAGTAATATCCCCACACAAAATATTCCTTTTGAAATCTTGTTGTAGACGAGGATATCCAAAATTATACTTCACTAATTTCTTTCTTCACTATCAAATTGAAGTATGGTCCTATTGTTGACATTGATTTGAAGATCCCTCCAAGACCACCAGGCTATGCATTTGTAGAGGTATGTTTATATATTATTCTATGGAAGCAATTGAGAATTGATCTCATGTTTATTCTATATATTGAATATATAAATGCAGTTTGAGGATGCTCTTGATGCTGAAGATGCAATTAAATATCGAGATGGTTACAATTTTGACGGTTTTCGGCTGCGAGTTAGGACACTCTCCCTTTGTTTGCTACTGTATTTCTCTCTGGGACACACTATTTAATGTTCTTATGATCTTCTGGTCACTATTTGTTTCTGTAGGTTGAACTTGCACATGGTGGACGGGGATATTCATCATCAGTAGACCGATACAGTAACTACAGTGGTAGCAGTGGTAGTCGCGGAGTTTCCAGGCGTTCTGACTACCGTGGTATGTATTGTTTTCTGATGTAGTGTGTTGAAAGTCTCACATCGCCTACCTCATATCATTTGATATGGTTTAAATACATGTTAGGCTACTCCACATTTAGCCAATTGGTTTTATATTGGAACCTTAACATGGTATCAGAGCCAAAACCTAACATCTTTCCGGTTATTATCATGGGCCAAAAGTTGCCCTTTAATTGGGTCAAAATTACCCTTTGTCTGGTCCGGTAGACTTCGTTGGAGGGGATGTGTTGAAAGTCTCACATCGCCTACCTCATGTCATTTTATATGGTTTAAATACATGTTAGGCTACTCCACATCTAACTAATTGGTTTTATGTTGGAACCTTAACATAGTGATATAACCTTTTTCTTAAGTCTGGTATCTTTGTACAGTAGTTTGTTCTTAGTTCTTTCATTTCATCTTACTTTCTGTTTTCCCATGAAAAGAGGATTTTTTGGTTGACCCTGTTTTGTTCTGTTTGTAGTTCTGGTCACTGGATTACCTCCCTCTGCTTCATGGCAAGATCTAAAAGTATGGCTTGGTTCATGTTTTTTGCATGCAGTTGATTGATGACATTTTACGTTGAAATCACTGTAATAGTTGAAAATTCATGAGCCATATTTGTTTATTTTGAGTTTTGATGATTAGGATCACATGCGTAGAGCTGGTGACGTGTGTTTTTCACAAGTCTTCCGTGAGCACGGTGGTAAGTAAATTAAGCTGTAATTTAAAATATTTATATGATTGTAAAATGATTAAAGAACATGGGAAACTTTTCTTTCTTCATATTTCTCAATGTTATCTTTGTTAAATCCATAAGCAAGAGTTAAGAGGATACTTTACTTTTTAAAGTACAGAGACAATTTCTTCACTATTATTATGATCTAGGGTTAAGAGCCAATGTTTATATAAGACTGCTTTAATATTGGGTTCATCATGTAGTTCATGCAATTGACGTACTGGTGGCACTCCGAAGGGATATATTGTGATAAGAACAATCATTCCAGACAAATCACATGTTTGGTTTCATGCTTTCATCTGAATGTTCTGTATCCAGCATTTTAGTGACTTTTTTTTTTCTTTATAACAACAGAAGCTAATCCAAACATTTACCAAAATGTTTATATTGGTAATTATCGATTAACTTCTCCATTAATAATGTCAATGGTGAATGATGTCTCTTTGCTGCAGCTCCCTACAATTTCATGCGATCATAGGATTTTTTAACTAATTTATGTGTTAAAAGTTTCGCAGCATAATTCTAAACTTTGGTACAATTTGTGTGTAGGCATGACTGGGATAGTTGATTATACCAATTATGATGATATGAAATATGCTGTAAGTGTTTTAAAAGGTTATATCTAATGGTTTATCAGTTTGTGCTAGACCCGCCTTGCCATCTTTTTATTTAGTACATTTATCGTACTTCCTTAACTTGTATTGCCTTACAGATCAGGAAACTTGATGACTCCGAATTCCACAATGCCTTTTCTCGAGCATACATACGAGTGGGTGGATGTCATATTTGACTACATTCCACTTTCAATATTTTTAATTGCTTATTTTTACTTATATCTCTGATTGGTCCAGGTGAGAGAATATGATCGAGGTTATTCTAGAAGTCATAGTTATGTTTCAAGGAGGAGCTATTCTAGAAGCATCAGCCGAAGTCCATATATCTCACGAAGCCGAAGCCACAGCCGCAGCCATAGCTATACTGACACGAGCAGAAGGTTCACTTTGGTTGCATTGGTGAAGTATGAATCAGTATGTGATGTCAGCTTCAAGGAATTGACTACGTGTTGATTTTTGCAGTTTGTCTCCAAAAGCAAAACACTCTCGGCGTTCAATATCTCTCTCAAGGTCAGTTTCTGCTATTTCTGATACATACGTCATTTTGTGCTCTGTGATTTAAGTTTTGAAATTTTGAAGTTTAGTTTTTATGCTTCTACATAATAAGTAAAAACTAGAATTTGGTCAGCATCATTAGTTAATGAGTATCACTCTGTTACTGTAAATAGGTTTATCTTGGAGTATGTTTCTATCAGCTCTCCAAGGTAGTATCATGTGGTTCATTTAAAAATGTAGAACATGTTTAACGTATATGGTGGATAAAAAATAAACACTTGATAATTTTGGGTAAAATTCATTTGGACAAATGTCTGCCATTATTTGCGGGTAACTTGATGATGATTTCAATGAGACATTCTAATAATTAGAGGGGAAGGGGGGACAACATTATGTATACTGTGGTTGTCATGCTTGAACCAGCAGAAAAAAAACAAAAAAAACAAAAAAATAAGGTGGATCTTCAGTGCCAAAAGGCTCCTCGATTTGTTATACACCACCAGCAGGAATAATACAATTTATTTTGGTGAATTTTGTGATATTTATTTCTACTTTTCATTTATTTTTCTACTCCTTTTTTTGAGTCTTGGTTGAGAAATGAGATCTTGGTTTTCTGTTTCATACTTCTTTTGTTACTGTAGACGCATGGTTGATTACGTCTTTGCTCATAAAAAAAGGGAAATATTGGGTTGACAACCCAAACATCTCCCCAACAACTACTTTCATTAATTAAATAATAGTATATAATATTATATTAATATTTTCAGTTGTATAATGGATGTACTGGTTGTCAAAATATAAGTGTTCATAAAAAAATCAACTAAGGTTCAAATTTTGTCCCTGTCAAAAACGTTTGGTTAAGTTGGTTCTGATGTATATGTATGCTTGAATTCAGCCATTTCTCTAACCTTTAGTGTATTTTATAACTATCTTTAAGCCACCCGGTATTCCTTCTCCCTGTTCTCAAAATAGTTTATTTCATATGTTCTTAAACAAATAGCATCGGTGACGATTTACTACCACCTTGAGGACTCAATTGATATAGAAGTTACTGATATTATCTGGCGAATATGATAACAATTAGATAATTTCATATTTTGGTTATTTTACCTATTTTCTTTGAGCTTCAATCATTTCCGTACGTTTTTATAGTTTTTCTTTGCTTTCTACGTCGGTATAGTAGATGATTGGTCACACTTCTGTCTTTTCTCTTTTCCTTCCACAATTCTCTTTTTTTCAGTACGATTTTTATCACCTTATTTCTTGATGGAAATGAAAATTCATTGAAACATCCGTTGTTACAAACAAGTATATTATAAAATCTCTTTATTTCACTTTTAATTATCTGGATCCATATCTATGGTATTGCATTCAGTTTATTTTCGAGATTGATTGCACTCTCATGCTTTGCTTTTTAGGATATTATGATATTCCTTTTTGCGTCTCAAGTTTTTTTGAGCTTCGCTCTTTCTTTTTTACAAGTTGGAGGGGGCATTTTGTTTCCCTATATTCCCAATTAATTGTCTGAAAGTGAACTTTTTATTGCATGCCTTCCACCTTGTTCTTCTCATGAAGCCTAATAATGTTTACCATAGACTTATCAGCAAAACTCGTCGTATGTGGAAAGGTGGAGGGGACAATGTTGAAGTGGAAGGGACAATGTTGAAGTGGATTGTCAGCTTTCATTAGGGTTGACTTTTGTTTTTTAGATGAGGCCTTTTGCGGCGATCTGGGAACTGCATGTTAGGATCTTGATGGCATGTGGTGCTCAAAGCCAACCTTTTTGGTTTGAGGTAATGCTGTTTTGTTGATGAGCACATGTGGAACACCTTAATGTTGTAACTAATGATGATGATACTCCCCTCCACATATGTATGGCAAACTAAGCGAGTCTATTAGGTCAGACTAAAACCAATTAATATTGAACAAAGTTGTCTAATGAATTTATAAGATGTACTCAAAGAAATTATTCACCTGACTTCCAACATGGTGTGCAATTGTTGTAGACCGGATGATGGTAGATGAATGAGTTGCAATCTAAAAGTTGGATCATCAAGAGCTAAATACCATTGGTACCAACCATGACAAATCAGCAGTTACAATTCAAAACACTACTTAACTTGTGTTCTGATTTCTGGTTGATCTATTCCTTCTCTTTAGGAATTCTTATTGTCCTATATTGGGTTGGATGTATCCCTTGTAATCGGTTCAAGATATCATGCGTTGCTGACCATAGAATTCTTAACACGTTTTGAGACTGTAGAAATGTCCTTCTGGGTTCAATAGCCTTTCAACTTGGATGGTGCTGAAGGATTTATGGTGGATTAATTTCTTTTTGGTTATGGTAACTTTGATGTGGAATATTGGGTCGTGGATATTGAACTTAGTTTTGTTCACCGAAATATTTTGCAGATCGCATTCAAGATCTAGATCTTCAAATTCATCTGTAAGTGTTATCTGACTTGAATTGCTTAACATTATTAAGAAAGGGGAGGGGTGGAGCATAGTTGAATTGATTTTTTCTTGTACGTTGCATAATCTTATGCTTTCATATATTTTGTGCACCATAGCCCCGACCTCATCAGAGCCGCAGTCCTAGGCAAATTCCGAGGAACACATCATAAACTGATTTGGCTCGAGTAAATTGTCATCAAACTTTTAATCATTAATGCAGTTGATTATAAATTTTTCAACATCTATTTTTCAAAAGTTCCTTGATTTTCTAATGGCACCTCTCATTTTACAGGGGAAATCTGACCGGGCTAGACTGTTGACTCTGGAGACCACTACCGCGCATGTATTTTCTGTGCTACATTATAATTTGACAGCTAAACATTAGTACTTTTAATATCCAATATGCTGTTGCTACCCCTTGTTTTGTATTTGAACATTGGCCTTTATAGTTAAAGCCATGAACAAACCTTGTAGGCATTTAAATTAGAAGTGGATGATTTGAACTAGAAGCTGCATCGTCAAAATTGTGGTTGATCAGCATACTAACTTGGCTAGGGCATGAGTAGTTTAGCCCCGTTATTAGGGTGGTAAAATGTTAATTTATTTTTACTTATTAAAAATTTATTTATTTAATAAGAAATAATTTAATTTGTCCATTCATAATTTTGTTATGGATGAATACTTAATCCAATTCATGAAAATAATATTCAAACATCTCATGTGAAACTATATATTCAGTTATGTTGTATTATTTTAAATTATGAATATCTTTTATAAAATTTAATATTTATATATATTACATATTTATTAAATGAAATTTTTGAATCCAAATGTTAGCTCCTTTTTCGTTAGATTTTTTTTATTGAGTTTAAATATATTTTTGTTTTAAGGAACTTTTGGTCCTTCTAGTATTTGTATGGTTACTTTTGATTTTTGAAACTTAAATTTTTCTTTCGCTTTATGCATTTAAAAAATAGACAATTTAGTCTATATAGTTTTAATTGATCGATGTTTTCACATTATAAAAAAAATGACTTTTAATTATGTCATCTAATTGACCGAAGTCATTAAAAATTGGTTGTTGAGTTTACAATGAAACTTTCAAATATGTTGACTAAAATCAGAAAATAAAAACTAGAAAGTTAAATTGCTTTTTTTTTTTAAATATATAGGGAAATTTTGACTTATTAAATATAGGGGGGAATATTTAATATTGTTTATATTTTATCCATCTTATAAATATTTTTTTATTTATTTTAGTTTTATCATAACTGATCTTCAAATTTCATCCTATTTATAAATTGACAACTCGATATTTAAATATTTTCATTGATGCTTAGATTCTTTTTTTTTTAATAGACACCTACAATTTTAATTTTATTGATTAATAAAACACAGTCAAAAGGTCTACTTGTTTTTTAAAAATAGTTTTTAATTGAGTAAAGTTTTTAATAGTTATTAATGAAGCATTAAAAGTCAATTTATAATATTCTAAATAATTTAAAATATATATTAAAATAAATCTAAAAACAATTTAAATATTTTAAAAATAATATAATCTATATAATTAGAAGTTATTATAAATTAGTGGTATAAGATAAACAATTGGTAAATGGAAATAAAAAATAATTTTCAAAGATGCAAATACAAAACTTCAAAATAACTAGATCATCACAATATAAATGAATTATTATAATTGTAAAATATAATTACAGAATTTAATCTTAATTTTAAGCAAGAGGTTTGGGGTTCTAAGCAATGCATTCGGTTTGGTGGTTTCTTCGTTCAAAGTTGAACCAGAAAAGTTGGTACCTTGAAACAGTGGGCCGAAAGAATACCACATTCCAAAACAGACATCTCTTCTTCAATTAAGAAGGTCACGTGCGTCCCTCAGTAATTCAACGCGCTTTTCTGGCCGTTCGAAATCGCGGTCGCAGGTTTACAATTAGAGTTTTTATTCGCTTCCTCTTCTTGTTCGTTTTTGTTTCTCACCAAATTTTGAGTATCCTATAAAAGGCAAACCCTTCGGTGTACGCATTTCATTCGTTTCGTTTCGTTCTGAAATTCCATTACCCTTACCTTAACCCATCTCTTTCACGCTACAATGTCGGAAGCTAAGACTCAAATTGAATCCATCAGGAAATGGGTCGTCGAGCACAAGCTCCGAACTGTTGGTAGATTTCTCAGCCCCCCTATTAATTTGCTCCATTAGATTCTTCTGTTGTTCATTGTTTATGCCATTTTTTTTCTGTTTGTTATGGCACCGATGGGTATTTTACTTTATTGATTTTGGTCTTTGTGGTTTTGCGGCTGATTTTTGGATCAGGGTGTCTGTGGCTCAGCGGTATCACGGGTTCAATTGCGTACAATTGGTCTCGACCTAACATGAAAACCAGCGTGAAGATCATTCACGCCAGGTTAGTTACAATTTCTGCTCATTTGGTAATACTTTTTTGACTAAATATAAGTATCTGGATGTGACATGCAAACTGTGCAATCCTTGGTTTTGTTACCAAGGAAAAAGTTTTTGTGATTTTGATGTGGTTCTGTGTTCATATTGTAAGCCTTGAGTTTGTCTGGCGTCAACTGAATGCTATGATTGCTTTGATGTTGTGTTCATGACTCGCTATTATGGTTTGTTTCATCGAGGCCTGTTGTTGGCACTTGCACTTTGTTTCCACTGTTTTCGACCAGTGTGTAAGTTGGGGTCACATCTGTTAAATAGAACAGAATGAAATTATTGCGTTTGGAATTGAATAACTTTTTTTAGAACGGATGGTGGTATCATCCCATTTCCTTTTCTAGATCAAATTGAACTCCTTTATCATTTGTGATTCAATTTACCTGCAAAACAAGTATTTACATAACAGTATTTTTGCTGAAAATTTGTGCTTGCAGTTTCCGTTTATTGAATTTTTCTTATCATAGCCATTTTTCTTATTTTCATTTTGATATGATGCCAATTACATTTCTCCACGAAGTTAATAATGTCAATCAGATAGAAGATTGAAATTGAGGCCATTTTTTTCTGTTTTAAGGATGGCTATTGGGAACATCAACTATTATTTCTTGAATTAGTATTTATAACAACGATATATTGATTGTCTCGAACAATAATGTAATATTTATTGATTACTTTTTCAATGGAGTGTTCCTTTTTATGTTTTTTTCTTGTGTTCCATGTGGTATAAAATAAACATATGTTTTTCCATTTGCAATTACTCTACTGTTTCTAAGGTGAAACAAGCTTGTTTTCCTTTATTTGTATCGTTCATCATCTCATCAATTAAATGATGGCATACAGTTCAGCATAAAAAGCTTTCAACTAAGGGAGTAAGTATTACTATTGCAAAATTTGAGTTGGAGAGATCGTTAAGAGGATGTAAAAGAGTAGATTTGTAGTTCGTGATGGGATTCTTTTTAGAATTGTGTAAATTATAGATGAATATACCGGCAATGAGCTGTACTATGAAATTATTGCAAAAGTGGTAGCACAGATTCAGAGATTAGACTAGAATTGCAGAGAATTTATTTGTATTTATATTATGAATTAGGAAAGTCTTCACCAGAAACTATTTTTCTTATGGTTGATGAAAATGTCAATAATATTTTTAAATATTAAGAATTTTTTTTGTGAGAACTCTTTTACGTGTGACTAGGTATTTTCCTACGAAGAGATGTTTACACCAGGGTTCAGTCTTGAGTCTTTATTTGTTCTTGTCCTGGATGTGCTTATAAGGGACATGCAAAAGATTATACCTAAATGCATTTTCTGATGCGTTTGTTTTGATTGAGGATTCAAGGGAAAAGGTTAACTCTAAACATGAGCTTTAGGATCAAAGTGTTTTTCTCTTGAGTAAGAGTAATACAAACTACATGCATATTTTATGAAACAATAATGACGGAATTAAAGTGTTAACTTGACACACGAGATTGGTCACAAATAGTAGGATCAAAAGGTTTCCTTTTTATAATTATGTTTTTTTTTTTCTGAAATTACTGTAGATAACCAAATGTGTTCATGAGAATAATATTTTCAGGCATAATAGACTTGGGATTATGATTCCGGAAAATATAATTGTATACATAAATGTCCCCATACAATGATTTTATATGAATGAGATATTAGAGTGACACTTGTCATGGAAAAAATTGATAAGAAAAAAATAGGACTACTGAAGACATCGATGATGGTAGTAAAATCACATGTTTTTTATTCCTGTAAAAAGGGGTAAAGGGAGACTGAGATGTATATTTCATGAAATTGTTAACAGGGGGATGAGGAGTATTATCTCTGACAAATTTGTTTTATTTAAATCCATTTAACAGATTTTACGTGGTTATCTGATTACGTTGTTATTGTTTGAGTTGTCATAATTTAATTTGAGGGACCTGAAAAGAAGACTCCGTAATTGAATCCCCAGAGGATACGGGAAGATCTTCATACGTTGCAAGTAATAAACAGTGTCTGGAATGTGAATAACTGGACTGCAATAGTTCTGTGTATGTGATATGTTGGGTTTAATTCTTACTTTTTTCCCCTTGCAAAATTTAGTGCACAACCTGAGCTGGTATTGTTTTGTTTTTTAATTTTGAACCTGCTTTGTGAGACCTTGCATAAAGTCAAGCTCATGCTTCTTGCTAATGTTTCTGAGCTGTATGATGTCAGGTTGCACGCACAGGCACTTACACTGGGAGCATTGGCGGGAGCTGCGCTAGTAGAATATTATGATCATAAGAAAGGAGCAAAGGCTTCAACCAGTTAACCTGAATTCTTTGTAGCGGGAATCCTAGTACTAGTCATATCTTAATCGTTATTGCAAAGTTTGCAATTGGACTTATACCGGATTCGTTCTTAAAATAAGATACTACATTGAAATTTTAAACATGCTTGTGGAGAGTGAATACATTTTCTCCTTGTAAAATGCTAGTTGCTTCGCATATTTGCTAGCAAATTTTGTCAGTTCAAAGTTATCCTAAATAGTTATAGGATGTGACCCCTTGGCTGCACTCTTAAATTACTTGTAAATTTCGACATTTCGTCTTGGAGAAAGACAGGAGTTAGGTTTTAACATGTACTGTTGAAACTTAATATTATGATATATTTGATTTTTTTTAAGTATTTTGATTAACATATTATTTTTAGCATTATTATTATTATTATTATTATTATTATTATTATTATGTTAACACATTAGTCAAATTATGATTCAAGATTCCATGAATATTTTGACCAGTGAAATGATTTTATTTATGTTTTAATTTTATATTTTAAAAAGCAATTTAATAAAAAGAATTTTATGCGACTTTTGACGTAAAAAATCTGGATATTTTTTCAAATAATGTAAACGGATGTTTCAACTTAATGTTAGGTGTTCCTATACGCATTTTAAGGATAATTGTTTAAGAACAAATATTAAGATAATATATATGTATATATATTCTCTTTTAATCTATTTATACGATTTTTAAAAGGAAAATTGTAATAAATTAGTGTACAATACATCATAAATTTTATCCTAATGATATTATCATTACGAATATGAGTCTGGAATACTTTTATTTTTATATATAACATTGAACATTTTTGTTTTTATATGCAACATTGACACGGTAGGTCGAGAGTTAAGTCTCGCTTCATTCATCTTAGTTATCGATTGGAGAGTTTAAGTTTAAATATGTTCGTGAGTTTCACATCACATAGGAGTTAAAACTAAGGATAATTTATATTCGTCTTCCTATTTTAATTAATCGAGTTGACTCAAATAATGCTATCATAATACAAACATGAGATTATGACACTCTCATTAGTAGATGAATCTTCCTCTTATTTTAGATGGATATCGGATATTTTATTATGATAAGGTATCTTATTTTATTAATATAAGGTATGCACCGGATAAATTGGATATGTCTCTTCTATAAAATATATATTTAAATTATTAAATTAATAAGTTATAAATAAAATCTTCAATGGACCTAAACAAAACTTTATTAAATAAAATTCATATAAAAATTACACCTACTTCTATTTAGATGTTACAAAAAATTAGAAATCCTAATTTAAAAAGTGACACCCTCACTTTTAATATGCATTTTAGATATTTTTAAACAGTAAATAAAAAATCAACTATTTTGAATTTATCGTTGAATAAGTACTTTATCTTTTATATTTAATGTAAAATTAAATTTATATTATAATTAAAATGATTTATAATAGCATCTTAATTCTTTTCCTTGCTATTCCTTTCCGTGGGCAGAATTAATCTTTCGTTTTTTTTTATACAATGGTTTCGAAAAGTCTTTATTACAACATAACATAAATAAGTTGTAAATTTAATAAAGAGATACATTTACTATACTTCTCATAAGTGTAAATATTTAAACAAACATCTTATTAAGTGGTGTAAAAGTGAGGGTTTGCCTCATCTTGGGTTGAGTTGTAAATAGGTGAACTTAACCCGGTTCATTTTTTAGCGGGTCAGAAATTTTATAATCGACTTAACCCATCACGAGTTGGTGGAGTAGGTGAGTTGATTCACTAACTCATATTTTTTTATATAATTGTATTGTAAGATTAACACAATACTATAATTTTTGAATAAAGATTCATCAATTCAATCGTTTAAGTTATGATACAAATTTTTACATTTGAAAGCGGTACAGTGGACTCGGTAGTGTAGTGGTGCGGTGAACAGATGTTAAGACAAGTGACTCAAGTGCAGCGACAAACGTAGTGGTGCAATGAACAATTGATAACAAACTTGAATGAGAGTTTGGTCTTTGGCAACAGTAACAATATAAGATTACTAAAGTATTATAATTATTTTTAAAATTTAAAATAAATGATTAATTAAGAATAGTATATTAATATAATTATTTTTAAAATTTAAAATTAATAATGAATTGCGGATCAACCCACCATAACCCAATTCAAACTCGTTTGATCGCATGAATTAAGTGAATCAAATTTATTTTTAGTCCATAATTAATAAAATAAAATAAATAAAAATTAAATCCAACCTAATTTGAATCAGTAGTCGATGACAAGAAATCACATATTTCAATGAATTTGTAGTTGTCAAAAAATGAGTTATTACCGACGGAAATTTCGATCGGATATATCCGTCGGTAAATTAATAATTAGTTACTCGACAAATATATTTGTCAATAAATCCGTCGATAAATTAACAATTAATTACCGATGGATGTATCCGTCTGTAATTAATTGTTAATTTACCGACGATTTACTAACAGATTTACTTGACAACTATATTCGTTGGTAATTAATTATTAATTTATCGACTGAATATATCCGTCGGTAAATTAACAATTATTTACGGTAAAATTATATAATAATTACTTAATTTTAAATATATTATAATAAATTTATTATTTACCTAATTAAAAAATTAAATATTTTTTATTTAATAATTTAATTTAATCATAATTAGATTAATTTATAATAATTTATTAAATTAAATAATTTTAAAAAATAAATATTTAATTACATATAAATATATTAAAATATATAAATATATTAAAATATATTTATATGTATATACATTTATTTATATATAAATATAATCTATTTGTAAATTATTATTAAAAAATTTAATAATTTAGTGGTTGGTGAAATCCTAATATATTAGTTTCGAATCTTGCCAATCATAAATTTTTTAATCTGTGTTAGTGAATTGGTTGGCTGATGAGTTAGTACTCACATTTAGTACCCTAATCCTATTGGCGGTAACACGGGAAGGAAAGAAAATGAGGAAAGAAGAACGAGGACAACAGAAAAAGGAGAAAAATTCTAAGAGGTATTTTCTCGTCTTAGTCTTTTGCTAGTTTTTGTTTGTTATCTGATTTTTAGAGCCTATGAGAGTAGCTACGAGACCGATATGTGTATTTTTATTTGAATAATAATATCAGTAAGTACAAACTTTGAATTATATGTTGTCTATATTTTTATTACTTTGCATATATCACAAACTTTACAGACTTTATACGTGTCATACATAAACAAAAAAGTTTAATGAGTGTTATTCAGAGTTCATCAATAGGTAAAACCTATTATCCAATGTATAAGATCTCAATATACGAGTATTTTAATATTACTTGTATTTTTGACATACAAACCTCTTTCTTCACTTTTGTACCTTTTGATAAACTGATTTTGTTATTAGTGGTTTTCAAGTTTTTTTCTTTTAAGTATTTTGATAGTTTATACGAAGAGATGTCTATTGTTCTTTGTGATATTGCTCTGTTCGTGTTTTTTAACTGAATAGACTCTTCCCTTTTGACAAACATTCATTTACAACTATCCTCGATACTTTTGTCATTGAAATTAAACAACATTCTAGAGCTATATTTTCATACTATTATTTACTCATTAAATATCATAATTTATGATCATGATACACTTCATTTCTTATTTTATTTTTTATAGAAAAAAAAAGAAGAAGAAGCCTTTGAGTCAAACAAGGGTAGCCAAATATCATAATTCATATTGAAAAACAACGTGTTATTTATTTATTTTATTCAAAATTAGTTTATAATCTATTTAAATAAAATAAAATCATAATATATTACGTATAAAGAACTAAACCTATTTATACCATGACCTAAGTAGATTTGACAAAAATTAACCTGAAGCCTAATTTTATCTATTTTAACACTCAATTTAAACTTACAATAATAAAATATCATATTATTAAATATATTATTACATAGTTAATAAAATAGGTTATCTTCATTTTCATTATTCTTATTTTATCATTTTTATAAACTTCATTGATAATCTTTTTCTTCTTTATTATTCATATTTGTGGCATATTTTTAGAAGTAATGTATTTTGAAAATATCATGTAACCTTGTCTTATATGATAAGACTAAGCGGATTGAAAAAAAATCAAAAATTAACTTAGAAAATACAAGAAAAGTTAGAAGGTAAATAAAAATTTAGATTTTTATTTTAAATCAATTACTATAAACACTTTAATTATAATATGTTAAAGGAAAAAATTAAAACATGTAAAATATATTTGACTTGTGAAATATCTACAACTATAATTCATAATATGATTTTGTGCTAGAAACTTTAAAACAATGATATTTTATTATTTTATTTTATTTAAATAAATTATGAATTAACATTTAAATCAAAAAATGAATGATTTATTATTTTTTTCAAATAAAATTAAAAAATATTATAAATGTAAAAAAATATTTTTAATTTAAAAAAGATATCCATTAATCAATTCACAACATTTTTTTTTATGCATTTTTAAATATACGTGAAATTAAATTATTAAAAAATTTGTACTTTGCCTTAGGGCTGTATGAGATGGGCTGATCCCTTCTAAGAGCCTATCCTCCAGTGTAATTATACTCAGGCCGAAACCCTTTTTCTCTATAAACGCGCGCGTTTCATATAGCGTATAAAATGAGAGCCAAATCATCCAAACCCTAATTACCGACCACACTTCACCGCCGCTCTTTCTTCACGCTTTGTTGTGCTATTTCGGCGTAGCTTAAGGTAATCCTTTCCCCTCTCTTTTTCGTATGAATTTTCTTTAATGCAGAGAAATATTTAGAATCCCCAATGAACTACATTTGAGTTTCTCCTCTCTCCAGTAATTTCCGTATGATTTTTTTTTAATGCAAAGAAATATTTAGAATCCCGATGAATTACTTTTGAGTAATTAGTTTTCTAGGAACCGCAGAAGCTAATAACGGATCCTTATTCGTGTTTTGCGTTTTTGGATTCAGACTTTAGCGATAGAAAGTGAAAAAAATGAGTCGAGGAGGTGCAACTGCTCCGAAGGGCAAGAAGAAGGGTGTGACATTCACCATTGACTGCGCGAAGCCAGTGGAGGACAAGATCATGGACATTGCGTCTCTCGAGAAGTTCCTTCAAGAGAGGATTAAGGTTGCTGGCAAGGCCGGTGCCCTCGGTGACACCGTAGCCGTAACACGCGAGAAGACCAAGATCATTGTTACGTCCGACAGTAACTTTTCCAAACGGTAACTTTGTTTTTACTTTTTAATTTATCCATTTTTATTTATGTAATTTGGGGTTTGGACTGAATTTAATATTGGATACACATATTAAATGTAATTTGGCCCCAATCTAAGAACGGAGCGTTTTGCAAAGGATTTCGTTTTTTAGTTTAATGTATTTTAACATCTCTACTGATTCCAGGTACCTCAAGTACTTGACGAAGAAGTATTTGAAGAAGCACAATGTTCGTGACTGGCTCAGAGTGATCGCTTCTAACAAAGATAGAAGCATTTATGAACTTAGGTACTTCAACATTGCTGAGAATGAAGGAGAGGAAGAAGATTAGTTATGTTATCGCTTTATTCATTTGAGAACCTTGTTTACCATTTTTCTCATTGCTAGATCTCTTTTGGCTTGAGCTCTGTTTACATTTCTTGCAATTTAACAGTTTTGTTTATTTGAAAGTTGTGATTCAGAATAGAGTTCACATATTATATTGTCAACTTTTGCCTTTGATACAGTCCCGTTACGTTATTAAACTAATTGTGACATCATCTCACAGCCCCACCTCCCTTATTTGTTTCTGTGTCTTGCACTTGAAGAATGTTTTATCAAATTATCATTTAATTGCTTTAGAGAATTTAGTTTGCTTATTGACTTGCATTTGTTCATGTGCTTGGTAGTAGTAGAAATAGATAGAGAGAAAGGGGATCAGAATTTCTTTTTTTGTTCAAATGAGTTCTACTCTGATATCAGATTTTTGCAATAACTCCTTCTCAATCTTCAACTAATTGCGCTAAACCTCCTTTATTGTATGAGAAATACTAACATAGAACTAGTCTTTAGTTTTTAGGTACAATTATCACTTTTTTGTTACTTTCCTTCCATCTTTCTTTGTAAACAAATCTTCATTTGTGATGTCAATCATACAAGCCTGAAGATTTGTTTATATTAAAATTCTTTTGATGTGTGGAAAGGAAAATTAGGGGACCATAAATTTTGCAGCCTGGAGTGCATTTGTATAAGGAATATACTGCTCTGCTTGAATGGATAACTTGACATTATTTACTTTGGAGTTTATTCCAACCCTTGCAGGCTATATTATTATATTAAAATCGTTATGATCCATGCTGCATTTCTGTTTTGGTCAGACGTACAAGCTATATTATTGATTAAATTAATGTTATTTAATTGAAATTTATTTTAGATTGATAGATAATTGTTAGGTTCGATTAGGCATAATATGATACCAAGCATCAGTATTTGATTGAGGTTGCCATTTTTTTTATTCAGTGAAATTTGTTTAAAGTTTACTCTCCTTGTGATTCATGGAGTATGTTTAGCGTTTTGGAGTTGTGACTACAGTTGAGTATTGTTAGCAATTCACTCATATTTCCTATTTCCTGTCATTAGTTAAATTTAACTTGGAAATGTTAACTAAATAAGCGAAATTTGTAAATTTGTTATCTTTTTATAAATATTGACTAAATTGTGATAGAAATGATTGATTAATTTGTAATTGATGTAATATTTAAATATTGAAATTGGAAAGTGAGTGAATGATAGTTCTGATTGAGGTTAATGCCTTGCACAGAGAGGTGATTTCTAAATGTTTGATGCGAGGAAAAATTGTAATTAGATGTAAATTGCAATCAAGGTAACGAAAAGCTAAACTTACGTTGACCCTTAACATAAATTAACACATGCCAAATGACCAAAAGTTCTAAGAAAAGAGAACAATAATATGAACTTACAACAAAATTAGAATAACTACAACTAATAATCTCCCTAATCAAACAAACTTAGCGAAAGCTTCATGATCCTCCAGGAACTTTTTCCTGCGCCTCATCTCTATCTGCATTCTCCACATCCTTTGCCATCTCTATCTTCTCCATCCATTGATGGTACTGGATGGTTTTTTTTTTTTTTTTTTTTTTTTTTTTTTTTTTTAATATTTCCCAACCTACACATTAGTTTTCTTTCAATTTAATAATTTAACGAAAGGGAAGATTTAATCCGTTCTAAAAAAATCAAATTAAAACTTTTATTAATGGTAGGACAATTGAAAAAGATAAAATAAATTTTGGGCTGAAATAAGTTATTAAGACTATATTTTAATATAATTGTAGCTATAATTTATTTAAGTAGTTTGAAAGGTAAGAGCGTAGGCGATAGTATATATCTTAAAAGAAAAAAATGCTTTTACTCTTACACAATTTACAGTGCACCTTCAATGCTACGGTACATTATTGATGCTTTTTTTGGTTACTGATCATCATCTTAATATATTTATATTTGAATTTCTTAGTCTCTTCCACAGGGCACATAGAACAATTAGTTGGTTTGGTGAAAGAGAACCTAAAGCAACTATGCTCCGTGGAGTGCAGTGGCAAGAGGTGTTATGCTACTGTTGACACGGCCTAACGAATTAGTTGATAGAGGGTAAGTAGGTAGATAGGTGAGAAGTGGAAATGAGAATGCTTTAATTCAAAGGAATAGATGCACTGCCGGAACTCATGGGATTCTAGTCTCAACTTGTCCAATTTTTTATATATTTATAATTTTAATTTCAAATTTACCTATCTTTAAATATATTTATTTGTTTAAATATTTATAATTTTGGTTTCAAGCAAATTTTTCATAAATATTCAAACAAACTATTAAATATATTAAACAAAAAATATTTATTATTTTTTTATATTGTCTTTTTTTTTATCATTTCATATTTTTCATTATTTATTAATAATGTATTAATTGATTCTTCAAAATCATTAGTTAATACTGAATAAAAAAAATATAATTAAACATTTTGAAAATTATAATGATTTATTTTATAGTGGGTAGTGAAGATCTTTTTTTTTCATTTTAATTTTTTTAGGTGATTTTTTTGGTTTGAATATGGTGAACTTATGATTTTGATGAAATAAAAATGATTATTGTATTATCAACACACATAAATTATTTAAAATTAAAAAAAAAACTTAAAGTTAGGAGAAAATCATTTATATAAATAATCTTGATTAATTTTAAGCTACTCGTACATAAAACAATTTTTATTTATTTATCAACACTTTTTCAAGTAATTTCCTTTAAAATGTTCTACCTAAATAGTTTCATACCAGTTTACCTAAACTTCCTGTTTCTATCTTAATCTTTGCTGTTATTCTTTTCTTTTTCGTTTATTTTTCAAAATTTATTTATATTATGCACTGGTAGTAAATAATAAACAATTATGTCATAGCAATTATTTGTAGTAGATTGTCATGTTTTGTGTTGTTATATATATATATATATATATATATATATATATATATACAGGAGAATCTGATAAATTGGCTTCTAATGAAGCTTACCAACTTCTCATGAAACATACCAACTTCAACATTGCACTAAAGTTTATAAATTTAATATTCCAACTGAACCAACCTCAAAATTGGCACAATGGAGTATAATTCTAAACTATCCACGACATAGAAAAAAAGGAAAAGATAAATGGTACAATCAGATAGCGAATTGCACGATTTGTAGTTACAAAATATTTATTAGAAAGTAATTTTCAACCTCTTGTCCTTTCTATTTATGGTAATGCGTCTTAGATTGGTTAAAAGAATTTTTCCCTCTGATAATAGCATTTGCTTGAGTCAGCAATATTATTGTCATGCTCATGTTTTATCAATGCTGACATATTTATATGCTTTTACAGTTTTTTTTTTTTAATTCTCTTTTGTTTTCATTGCATCAACCACTATAATTTTAATTCTCTCTTTTTCCTTTCCTTTTTTATCGAGCAATGATACATCCTAAAAGGCTAACAAAACATTTTCAGGAATGATGGAAGAGATTTGATGGCCATTTAACAATCGACTGGTGATTTTGTGAGTTACGTAATTTCCCTGCAATTTTTGTCCAGTTTGAGGCATTCGTTCTCCACCATGTGACATAATGATAGAGCAGAGTTACATGCCGTAACTTTGATAATTGTGCGTTGCGTGCTGAAATGGCCCTGTATTCATTATTCCATTTGCTTGCGTTTTAAGGTTCTTCTGCATTGCCAGCACTGACTTGGTTTCTTGTTTTTTCTACACCTTCATTTCCGACATTAGATAAACAAATGAATCAAGTAATCAACTTTCTTTCCCTTGCATGCAGAAGTAGCCAAAAATGAGTACAGTCCCCCACCACCTACGGCGAACTTTCAGCTCCAGTGTTTCCTTTTCCACTGTCATCTTTCGTTATTCTCACGTCATCTCTAACCATTAACACAACAACACCAATGTCAAATGGAAGATCAAGTACCACTTCATTACATCATATTCTACATCACATTCTTTATTGGTCAACCATACTAATACGCTGGACTGGACTTAAGTTAAACACAATCCCTGCATAATAGTGCCTAAATCTGAAGTTAGCCCAAGATTTTTGAAATTATTACTCTTAACAGCAAATTCAGCATACATAAATATTATTAACGTCACTGGTGTATTTTGTACACACCATTCACATCCATCTCCAATAACTGTTCAAATAAATGTAAATTCACCATATGGAGATATTGCTCTTTTTTGGTACTGGCACTGATAACAGAGGAGTTATTATGGAAAACTCTTCTCAAAATAGCATGTTATCACTCAAACAGTGGATGTTACGCAAAAATGGTATTGTAGTCATAGATGGCTATTTAACAGAAACCATTTGTTAACGGGGGTATGGGGTTTGTTGTGTATTTCTATACATTTACTTTTATGAAAAGAAACTTTTGAACTAGTACTGATAATAGAAACTCCACATGATTATAATAATTTCTATAAAAGGAGAATCAGGGCCAGCAGCATCTACTCATGGATATTTGACAAGTGAGGATTAATGTGCCATGGCAGTGTTGCGCTTGGTATTGTAGGCTGAAGTAATATAACAATTCTACACAGTGAACCATGATCAGAAAAAAAAAAAAGTTTTATTAAGATCCAAGAGATGATTAAATTGTCCATACTATGCATTATCATAAATGAAACGACACAGTCGCTTGAATTTGGATGAGAGGTACATTACACAGCTTCAACACTTCCTATAGATTGTGTAATATACATAGCCAAAATTGGAGTTGTTCAGTTATAACGGAGAAGCAGAGATGCGGGTGGAGCTCAAGAAATGGATATACTCTCTGCACCTGCCAATGCAGAGCAGTTCATGTCATCCTTAGCTGCAGTTAACTTGAGAAGCTTTATTTATATATTGTGAATCCTTTTCCTTCTTCTTTTTAAGCAGTAGTTGGCAAGTACATGCCTCATTGCCCTGCAGAATACGAATTACAATCACATGCAAACCTCTGTTTCTGGATACAAT